CGTGCTTTGAGGAAGGCGAGAGTGCGGGAAGGGAGAGGAGGACAAAGAACAGGCCAGACCGGCGTGCGTGGGTCGAATGGTGCGCGTCACACAGCAAAGGTTCATATTTCCGCCAATCAGTTTAGCACGTGTCGAAGTGTGTTCAAATCAGGCGATTTAGGAGATGAGTGCCAATCTCTGAACACGAAGAACTTCGTAGCATGTCTGTTGCAAAATAAACAGGTTAGAAGTTCACGGACAACATATTTTACTTCACCAACTTAAGATTATTGCATTCAATTATTCCTGTTACCAAAATATCTTAAACAAAAATACTATTTTTCGTCTTAATTTAAGAATGAAGCAGAGGGTTCCAGTAGGATTTCGCCAGTACGAATTCACGGGTCAGTCAGCTTAGACGACCCTGTAAAGAAAAAGATGGCTCCCTTTGGATTTCTATCCAGTAGCGCATTTAAACATCTCAATGACGACAATCCCTCGATTACGCAGCACCCACAAGGAAGCAATTTGTATCTTCGACTTGGTGCTGTTGGTAAGTTTTTCCAAACTTGGCACAAGTTTAAAACCGCCAGAAATTTCCTAAACGTACAATGGGTTGGTAGCTTACGACTATGTTGAATGAACTTCATGACATCTACACTACAACGAAAAATATAGCCATGTGCAGCTAAAAAGTTATCAACAATTAATTATAGTGACATCGAGGACTCACAAACATTTTTTGTACTTTAGCTCTGAAAAGCATGATTTTTTAATGCTTCATTCAAATGAAATTATATTAAATGCTTCCTAAACATCTCTTCGAGACACAATTTGGGAATGTAAAAATTTTAAATGTTCAACTTAATGGCCAAAAAACGAAGTATTCATCCCTAAAACAAGCGATTATGCAATGACACAGAGCCGAACTTTTGTCCCAATACCAGTTTTCCTACCCCGATAGTTTTCGGCCTGTCCTACACAAATTGCAATTTATAGATTTTCAAAATAACTGTGAAGCGTTTTTTATGAATGTTTTATAAAGATCTTTATCTTGAAAGTGATCTCGATGAGTTTTGCCCATGGACATTTGAGCCGAAAGTAAACACGCGTAGACAAAGCGTTCCTGCACCTAAAACGTTGACGCACACTCAACAGCGGCAGATGGCGCTACCTCGAGTCCTACTTTTATCCACACGACTCTGTGTGACGGCACTTAGAAATTTTGATATTATTCACCCCCCAGCATTCCACCTTGGTATACAAAGCTGATTCCACGTCGGGTCTGAAGACTTGATATTGAATGAAGCTGACGACGCTTTAGAGTATCTGTAGACAAGCAAACTTAGAAAAAAAAGCTAGCCAAATATTTTTACGATTTCCAGTATTCGGATTTGGAGTGATGATCATGAACGGATTCCGAGTTGCTGACAGGTTCAATGAAGCCAATAATACGCTGGCCTGCCACAGTGAGCTGTGGGTTCCAGTAAACGTGATCCACTCAATCTACGTCTTCTGGCAAACCTACTTCCTCTTCAAGTATCATCGGGTTCGTTTACGTAGTAGTAGTCTCATGTTTGCATTTCGCTTCACCTATAACTGACACATACTGAAATTCGAAAATTATGACCTCCATTATGTACCCCCATATTCCACTGTCCTCAATCCTGCCTAAAGCCAAAATTTCCTCTTTCGGTAGTCACATGTGATTAAGCCAAGTGCCGTCGTCTTTGCACAGCTCAACGAAATTCGTTTCATTTTAAGTCGAGATGCTCATCAAACAGAAATAGCTTCGTGCCCAAGCCTAGTCATGTCGCAGATTTAGGTGGTAGGAGCAAGCATCTTGGAACCCCACCTCACCCAATAACTCCTACAGATGGCGGATGGTTATCAGGATGAGAGCTGTTCGGTTAAGTGTGGGTGGTCCACTCCCTCTGCATGACTAGACCGTGACACGGCACGGTATGTGCAAGAAAACCGATGGCTTTGTTAAAACACGTGCCAGACGACACTAATCTGTCGGCAAGATTCATCGCTTAGAGAGATGCATCGCTAACACAGCTGAGCAAGTTCAAACGATGTCGCATGCGGTGTGCACTGTGTTTTCTCATCGAGATATTTGTGGCAAACACGACTCAGCTGAATTCATTCAAACCTGCCAGTGTGGCGTCCGATGTCAGCACCCGTCAGCAAGATTCAGTTGACTGAATGTACCATGACAACGATTTGACTCGTTTTCGTGTCACATTTGTTCTTATGCGCCTTCAAACCAAGTGCATTCGAAGTGGGATTACTCGAAACTTTGACGTGGTGGATGACTTTGTGTGAGTGGAGGCAGTGTCTTCTTGCAGGTGGTCTTCAACGTGCAAAAGTTCTTCATCCGCTTCATTTTGAGCCACATGGCTGTGGTCAACCTCGGCCAGTGGCTGAGCACGGTGGTGCAGGAGGTCATGGTGCCTCCAGAGGAGGAACTCGAGCCCAAGGGAGGCATATCAGCGACCACGTTAGCACCCTCCATGGTCACGTCCCTCATTACTCATCAACCTGTGTTTACGGACGGGAATGCATCGCTGTTGCAACAAATGGACACCTCCAAAAAGAACTTGTCAGCCTTCGGGGAACGTAAGTTAACCACTTTCACACCTATAAATTTAGATAATCTTCTCATGTAATTAATTGAATTAGTTATTTTGGTGACGTTCACTACCCTGAGGATGTCATTTTCTGGTGTTTGGGCATTCGCCAATAGTTTGAATTTTGATCAGGTAAGTGTGCTGAGATTCAGTTAATACCCGATATGTGTAATCCACTATTGTTGCAAAAGTCGGGAGGCAATGCAACCATAATATCATTGCGTAACCACATTTTTACCGTTTTTTTTTGAACTTACTCAAAATCACACCGTCACGGTAGAGTTGCCACAGCATTCGCTGGTAAAGTGGCTTTCTTTTGTAAATTTTCGTTCAGCATCGGTGCATACATCGAAGATACAGTCGAGTCATATCTATCCAAAACACGTCCACGACCTCTATGTAGAACAATCATTTGACTTTGTTATTTAAGATTCGTCGTTTAGATCTGTAGACAGACGTTTTTCTTGTCTCCCGAAACGATTTAAAACCTACGGAACGGATTTAACTGAATCTGCTAGCGAAAACAGCTCCATAATCTTAGCTTTCAGTTATAACATTTATTTTCCTTGTCAACAAACATTCCCTTTGTTCGAATTTATACATTTTTTCTTACCCAACTTCCAGTTAATCAACTAAAAAAGGGTCTGGCAGTGGTGGAACATAGTAAACAGCGTCACAACGACAAACAATGCCCCCACCGCATCAACAAGTCAAATCGAGTTATTTGGGCTAAGTGCAAACGTTGGGTGCTACAACGTCACCGCCCGAAATCAACTAAACAACATAGACATTCTGCTTGAATTAGTTTGCAATTGTTCAGTGTTAAGCAGATTTATTCAACAATTTGAAAATGTTAGTTTTTTTTTAGGGATCAAAGCTAGAATCGGTCCAAAAATGTGTCGAATGTTCGGAGAGGTTCAGAAATCTCAAAAGGAATATTTTTTTGTCTATTTCGCAAAAGTTGCTAAATATTGCGAAATTTTTCATTTGAACTGCATTTGAAACACACTTTGTTCGGACTAAAAGTTTCCTTTTTTTTGCGTTGGCCGTTCGTGCAGTTGAAAGTGGCAATAATTTTGCCGTCTGTTAAAGGGTTATTTGCCTTACCAATTTGACCAGTGGAATAATTTGGAAGTCGTACACCGCAACACGCAGCAGCACGGTTGATCGCAGGTCATTTGGTTGAATCGTAAGTCATGGACTCTGTCCCGAGTAAGCACTGTTTAAGAGTTGAAAAGCACCCCAAGTGAAATGCGAACTAACCTCAAATCCTGTCAATTCTGGAAAAAGTGTCTTCAGCTTGCCAGTGTCAATCAACCCCTCGTGTGTTTTATCAAATGCGTCATTTTGAGATCGAGTTTTTCCCTCGGATTGCCATTATCTGGCGTTTTTTTTCATTCATCACTGACTTGTGCTTTTTCAGGCGTTTTAATTTCACTGGTTGGGGAATTTCACTTCTCCCAGTACGACGATGGGGTGATTTATGGTGTTGTTTCTCACTAGTTAACCGAATTTGCTGATTTTGCTGGGACGTTGATTGCCTTTCCACCTTCTGAGTTCGAATTAGATGACATGAACTAGGTATTGAGCAAAGTAAATGTATCAGACATTGCAACCTGTGAACCAAAATGGTTTCTACGTTCAATATTTTAGTGACTTCCGCCTAGTAGCTGTGGTGCGAGAGAGATTTGGCCGTTTATTTTTGGTCATGTATGCTTACACCTTGTCGCATCATGTGTGTTTAGCCAAGTGTCACTCGCAAGTTGCGGTCTTCGCACACTACCTCATTCCGTGTGGCGTCGAGTACAGCCTTATTGCCTGTGCCATTTTCTACAAGATGTTTCAGCGCATCGGACACGTCGGCACCTCCTCCTCCGAAGGTGGCCCCGATCGGGACCGCTGGCAGATCCAGCACAGCAGCAGCCGAGATGGAGGCAGCAACAACGAAAGCACGAGTTGCGCTATGGAAACGAGACATCAGCCCAAATTACGGTTGGTTTACATTGCCTTAATTGGTACCGTATACAAGTCCTGAAGTCTAATTGGTTGCAGTTTGTTGAAGTCCGCGTCCTATTGGCCCGAATACGCCCCACTGCTACCAATGAGGATCAGCAAAACCGCAGATGGCGTGGACACAGTCGCTTACCAGATAGCTCATCCTAATTGTGCTGTCGTGGGCTTGTGTTCAAAGTACGCATGACTAATGCAGTAAAAGTACAAGTGTCTAAGTGGTCAGATGAACGAAGAGGATAGCGGGGAGTGGAACATGCCACACAGGGGTGAATGAAGTGATTGGCCAGCATAGCTGACGGACACGCTTCGAAAAACCGCCGTGTCTGAGAGTGCAGACGTGAATCAACACAGTGTAAATTGTTCTCCTGATTACTTTTTGTCTACTCTTGAACCCACCTCGCCTTTAGGTTAGCAACTATGGCGCGTGTGCAAGTAAGCCTTGACGATGTGACAGCAAGTGACAATTGCTTTAGAGGGGCCTGCTGAGCCGAATAATTGCCCCTCATTAAATGCTGCTTATTTCTACCATACCATTTTTAGTTTAGAGTGATTGATTGTATTGTTTGGCAACGTCTAACGAGGTCGAATTAATTAAGCTCAAGTAATCAAATGATAACGTTAATTGAGTTGACAACTGCCCTATATTGTATAAATGAAGCCCTTGTATCTGTGAAAACGGATCATGTCATCAAAATCTTGGCCAATTTGTTCTCAGAGCAGTAGTAAAATACAGCCATATCGGCTAAAATGCCAGGCATTTTGTCAAATAGTGAAGCGTTACGCATAAAATTGATGAGCTAACTGTTAGTTTTTGCCTCTGAGGCAGTACAATATGCCCAAGTGAAAGTAATGGATGGACTGTTGATCAACTCTACTTTTCTGAAAAGCTGTAAAATAGTGACTACTTTAAAACAATTGGGTAGGCGTCTATTTTTAAATATGCACTGGGCTTGCAGTGTTTGGTTGGAGTGACTAGTGCACCGTAAACATCACTGCTAATTGTAAGGATGCGGCGAGAGCAGTTTACCAAATCAGAAATGAACCTACTTTTTCCCTTTAGGGACAGCCCGACTGAGTGCCACCACGCACACAAGGGCCTTTTTGTCGGTCTCCTTCTTGTCATGGCAACTCTCGTTGTGATGGCTCTCTTCTACGTCTTAGTGCAACAGCGCGACCGCGACTATGCTCTCGTTCTCTACCAGATTACAGACCTCGTTCTCCTCTCCATCGGTATTGTGACCGTCAGCGTAGCCCTCTACCAGCTGAGGGTGCTTCATCTGCGAAAGCTCTCAGAGGAGGACGCATTTGACGACAACCTCCTTCTGATTGGTCTGCTGGGCATGCTCTTCTACGACATGTTCCTACTTGTTCCGGCTGTTGAGGCCAAGGAGGAACACGAGGGAGTTGGGTCAATTTTTGTGGCAAAAGCCACCCTGGAGATGGTCCAAGCTTTACTGCAGGTGACGTTTTTGTGCTTGAAATGAAAGAAAGTTTGTTGAAAGAAGGAAGTATCTTAGTCACACAAAACAAATGGGAAGGCAAAGCATCTCGATATGGCTAAATAGATATCTGGGTGATTAGCAAAATGCGTAACTGTAGGCTACAGCAAACACAGTGGGTTGAAATTGGACATTAATCGTTACTTTAACTTTATTAGTAATTCTTTTTATTTGAAGGTATTTCTCATTCTCGAAGCGTCACAACGTCAAGCCGGCACAGTGGACCAGATGGTGAAGAAACCGGGCCGCACTGTCGTCACCTTCCTCCTCATCCTCAACCTCGCCATGTGGCTTGTTAAAACGTTTGAACTTAAACACGCCGAGAGCTACCCCATCTACAGGCGCCATTACAGAGGCATCGCCTGGAAGATAATCACTCACCTCTCACTTCCCCTCATCATTTTTTTCCGTTTTCATTCAACGGTGTGTCTAGCTGACATCTGGACCAGCGCCTACCGCATGCATAGTTCTACTGACTTATGACAGACCACTATTACGTGAAGCTTACAACGTACAGGCCCAAAAGCAATTCCAACAGTACTACTGCAATAATACCATCGGTTTATCCCTGTAGACTTCAGATGCAAATTCAATCAACTGACTTCTATAACTTTTCCACACTTATGTACCTATTTTCCCAACCAACCGACCCGCATGATGAATAGCAAGTCCCTTATGGCACCTACATCTGTTGGTATTTTCCGTTGCTTCTTAGTGGTTAAAAGTGAAATCAAATCAAGGCTTGCTTTGAGGCTAGTTTTGGAGCAATATACGGGGTGCATCCAGACGGAATTGTTTGTCTTCCGCGTTAACCCACACCCTAATAATTATGTGAAAGAACACGCTTCAACAACCGAATCACATCTTCAAGCTAGAGGTCACAACTGTCGAATCGCGTCCAAGCAGTGGAAGAATTTGGCTTTATCACATATAGTCTTGAGTTGGCACTCAAGCTATCGCACACAGACTACCAATAAAGTCAAGTACGGATTTAAAAATCTCACGTGCGGACGTTGTTTATGACTACTAAGTTTATCTGTTCATTCTGTCGTGTACTTAAAGAGAGAAGACTAATAAATCTGTGGCACATCGGCATCCCACTTGTACAGTTCTGGACACTAACTGTGTTCTCCAACGCTCCGATTAGTGCGCATGTAAAAGCGACTATCAGCTCACACGATCCATATTTGAAAGCCTACATAATAAAAAAATACCAGTCGAAAGTAGGCTCAGTGATTCTGTGACGCGCGCCATTCGACCTACGCACGCCGGTCCTCCTCTCCCCCCCGCACTCTCGCCTTCCTCAAGGCACGGCCGTGAGTCCGAGGGCAACACCAACCCTCCTCGCGGCCATCCCTTTCCCCACTCTAACTCCCCCTAAGCTCTAGCCCTCTGAGTTTGTATGCGGTAGTATGGAATACATTCAATTCTTCCAGCTATTCTTCTATCGTGTGCCTGGTAGCTAACCATGATGGTGTGGCTATCTAAGAGGGACGGGCTAACAGTCATCGCCCTATTCAGGTCTCCACTCGGTAGGCGCGTTACAATTCCGGTTATTGAAAGAGCCGCCGTTTTCCAGTTGTTAAAAGAAGTCCTCACACAGCATGATCATGTTTTGACATTTTGTTTGATCTAGCAAACGCGTGTCCTTAAAAAAAACCAGCCTCCACCAATCGCCAAATGGCATTAACTAATGTTAATTTGTTTTCCTGGATCATCTGAACGCGCGGACTAAAATGACCTTTACTACAAACCTTACATTCCGAAATTAAGGCAGCATAAAAGTAGTGAAAAATCGCCAGGCTAGTGTTGCAGTCCGGGCCACACGTTGTCGCATCCTCTTACTCACGGTGTTCGACAAAAGGCATCGCAAGACTCTTTAACCACCAGAGACGGAACAAAACAAAGGATGAAGACAAACTAAAAATATGTGGTTCATTTTTTTAATAATAGATACTTTCATAGTAGTGGTGGCGGTAGTGGTGGTTGTCAGCCATCACGCAGTCGCATGTGAGACTGGCAGAGCTCAGGCTGAGAACAAGGAAAGAAGAAGAAGAAGGAGGGCAGAATAGGGTTTGGAAGGTGTCGATAGACGGAACGGGAACGAAGGGAGATAGGGAGGGAGGGGGTTAACACAGAAATACGTCGTATGCTTGGATGAAGAACACAGTTTCCGCTAGGGGAGGCGATGAGACTCCGAGTGGTCGCAGGCATTACGTTATTTGATCGTTCAGGTCGTTCTGGTGTACTGAAAGAAAGTGCAAGAAATGTTTTATATTAGCATATTTCAGTTCAGACTCGACTGAGCGGGTTCGAGGGATGTTGGCACAGGCTCACGTTGGTCTAACAAACTCAACAGATTGGTTGATTAAGGAGAAAATCGGCGCTTTGAAAACCAATCAAACTTATGCAACCTTTAGATTTCGGCCGAGATTCCAGTTTTCTAGTAAGAAAAAATCTACTAAAAGAAAACAGCCATCTAGTTCTGAAATAAAGTTTAACATGGAATTGATTATCAGTAAAGTGCCCACGCCACTAGGGGACCAAAAAAGGATTAAATTGGCCATCTGCAGTTATGCACGAGGCTACAACGGCAATGAAGTTTCTTTGTAAATAAAATCGGTGCCCCTTTCCCCAAAAATCTTTTAATGATACCTTTGAAGCTCGTTTTTGTAATAGCGGCGTCACACCAGATGTCAATTTGTTGGAGAATCAAGCGGTAAATGTCTGCGCTCATTGGTTAACCAAGGTAGAATAACAAAAAGATAACTTCGTTTAAAGTAGCTCTACCACGGAATAACTTCGTCGAAAAAAAAGCAACACATCAATACCAATCTTGTTCTTTTTGGATGGGTAACTAATCTACATTTTATACTCCACATGTATCAGATATAAGTATTTAAGGTTGCAATTTGAACGAACGGATTTTCGTGTGTTTACATGAGGCAACACAGAAGGAAACGTATCATGTTATTTACGTGGTTGTCAAGGCAACCGAAGGAGTAGGGATTGATGCGTCCGTCCATCTAATGGTTTGAAATGTGGAATTACCACCTAACACATCATGAATCCTCATGTTTACTCTAAATCAGAGTCCATAGGATAGCAGTCAGTGCTGGCGTTAAGTTGCTTATGGAATCATAAATCAATGCATCAAAAACAGGATGGGGTGGGGTGCAATGGAACTCGTCAATGGTGATCCGTTGAGGAAGCGTTGGCAATGCATTTGTCTAGAAAACATCCGGCTGAATGTACAGCATTGGCTGGACCCCATCATGCGGCGACTTTGGATGACAAAGATACCCAGACTCGCCTGTTTACATAATTCAATTTGATGGCTGAATTTGCCAGGCGTTTTACCCTGGCAAAATGACTAGTCTACAGAGATCTTTGAAACCGCTAACGCTTTTTTAAGCTTTACCACTCCCACCGAACAGTGATAAAATCCTTTCTGCATGTTCCTACTTCTTGAGCCTTATAAGTAGTAGCAAAATGTGCTCTGCATCATTGCTTGCAAGCGAAAACCAGTTAAACGCATGAGTGCTCTAAAAGCTCTCGGCGTTGCAAATTATGAGTTTTTGCTTCAAGCTGCGCACCCAACTTGGCGCAGAACGGGAATTGGTTGGCTTGTGCGTTCAGGCATGACCAGTCGAGGTGTGACTTCCACTACGACAATCTCACCCCGATGTGGTGCCTTCGCACACCTCAAGGCGAGGCGTTGCGGCGGTCTTGAGTAGAAAGGCGGACCGCAGAAGCCGCCTTAAACGTGGTGAATCACTTTGCACACAACTAAGCCAACACGGCTGCCCTGGGCGTCTACTAACTCCGAAAAACGTGCATTTGCTTGAGTATGAAATTTGCATCTCAAGGAACTACGGGACTACATCGAAAATGCAGGATTAAAGCCCCTAGTCGGTAGAGTGCTGTTGATGTAAAAGCAGCCATCTATTATTACAGTTACCACACGTGTTCTGCGACAACGCTTAGACAATGTGTTGAATTCGCCGACAAATGACTGAACATTAAGTATTGAGAATTGACAAGAAACGGGGATGAATGAGGGAATCCGCAGATTCTAGGTCTAATTGTGGTCGTCGATGCTTCTAGATTTCGAAGCCTTTGTTCACGAGGAGAAACCACAGAGTCGTCTGTGGAGATGGAATTAACTGGTTTGGGTGAACTCGGTCGAAAAACCGAATTGCACTAAAACCATTCTCACAAGATGCACTTTTCAAAGTCAAATATTAGCAGTCCGAAAAGCCTGCGACAGATGGCAGTTCCAGTTGCCCTCCCTGGAATTTGTACTTTAAAGCTCACACGGATCCAACAGAAGGGAGGGAGATGAGAGTGAATTGACACCGGAACGCTTCACACATTAACTTGCGCCCATCACATGACGCCTTGAGTTACTAAGACGTGATTAATTTCAGTCCATGCTATTAGCCTTTTCGCTGAACTTTGCCAACGCCTTTTGCAAAATCGCTTAGTGTATATCGGATTATCTTCGTCTCCAAAAGTTAAACCCCACAGACCAGCGTCGTTAAATTAAAAAAAAAGGACAAACACAATTCAGTACAGGTGGTTACGCTTGCTTATTGCTTGCGATCTTCACTAATGCCCAAAATCATTTGGTAGGTGAAATCGAATTAAATGAACAGTGCTTCTCAAAAACTTTTATCTTACTTTAGGGGTGGACATTACACTAAGAATATCGTGGTTAAATACTTTGCATTTTGAACGGATCAACCTGAAAATCTAGAGCCTTAATCGGGCCTGGTATTAGCGATCTAGTCCGTAAAAATGGCCGAGGCTTGTAAATAATGACAATTTTGTATTATGCTCACTGACGACTATTTGTCTTGGTTCTACAAAGAATGCTTTTGTAAATGTTATATTAGCATAGCTTATCAGCCCAAGAGCCACTCTAAGCACATGCGTCTAAAGATTCTCTTTCGAGTTCAAAATTTCGTAAGCCAAGGTCAACGCACAGGGGTTCTCGTAGGGAGTACCCCTTTCTCGAAGCGACGCTTTGAGATTTGTGGAAAGGGGCGACTTCTCCGACTGACTGCCGTCCACAGTGAAACACTCCGGCACGACTGCCGTGGTGGTGGTGGTGGCGGCATTCGCGGCGTCGACTGGAGCGACTGTGGCGCTTGGGGAGAGGGTGCTTTGGTGCAGAAGACCGCTGGTGGACGTTGTGGAGGGTGTTGACGAGCCCGATTCGAAGCTTCGGCTCCCCTTCCGCTAAAAAAGCAATTTCAGTTGCCATAATTAGAGATAGAAGACGAACAAGAAGTGTCATCGTAAATGAACTAGGCCATTTAAATCAAATGGAAGAAAACAAAACACCAGCCAAGTGTCAGTATTTGAAATGACATTCATCCAATTAATACAGACATTCTGATTTCTGATGGTAGTCATTAACCAATTAACCGGATACAAGTGACTTCATTTAAACACATTAACATGTAGTGGCACTTCACCATCACCATGGAATAAAACAGCATGTAAGTCGTGGTAAACGTGCAGAAGAACCTACTGGTTCTGTCTTATCCTCCTCAGCCGTCAGCACAGCAGACTCTCTCATTTGTCGGCAGACATCGCAGGAATCGTCGGCGAGCGTTCCATTAACTACTCTCCCAAGAGGAACGAACGAGTTTGAAGAGGAGCTGATGGAGAGATCGCCGCTCCAACAGGACATGATCATCCTATTCACGGTGGACCCTCTGCTTCGCCTGACTGGGGATGCCATCTGGAAGTTGCAGCGGTGGTTCTGGTCAACATCGGCTACCTCTGCTTCCTTCGCCGTCGCCGCCGTCTGCAGCGCGTCGTCTGCCAGTAGGAGGTGGGAGTACGTGGATGTGGGCGGCGGCGGCGACTGCTTCAACGACTTCACGGGTTTCATCGCGAAGGCGTCGCCAGTGTTCAAGACATCCTCCGAAGAGCGCGATCGGCGGAGGGCGGTGGCAAGGAAGTTGCGGCTCCGTGGCACGGCCTTCTTGCAATCGACACTTTCGAAAGCGGGCAGGCTGCGTGGACGTCGGAGACCGACCCGTCCAGCCTCGGAGAGGCCCGTGCCGTTGAGCTCCTCGTCGGTAGAGAAGTCGAGCTGACGTCGCTGAGAGCAAATTCGGACGAGGGCGCACAGCAGGACCGCGGGAACAAAGGCCACCACTGCAGACACCAAATCGGTTAAAGAAAAGAGGCGATCATAACCTTGCATGAATTCCAACCCTTCAGCCTTTTGCAAGCAGTGATCCAACACTCCAGGTTTGATTGGACAAATCGACATATTCTAGTATGCGTTTTATACCAGAAGAGATGTTCGCATGTGGCATTTGCAAAAGTTAAACCAGAAGTTATTAAAATGTCTTTTTTTTTTAAAAAAAACCGACTGCACGAAATAACTGATCTAGTGGGAAGTCGTGACTCCATGTAGTCTGAGCAGAGAGGCTTTGTCGATATAGTGGCGCCTTTGTTTGGTGAAGCGTTTGCATAGCAAACACCATCGATTTTGCAGTAATCAAACGATTGGATAAACATTACCTGTGGGAATGTCTATTTTTTAAAAAATGTCACAAAAACAAAAAGAGGATTACCCATCCAGGGGAGTTTCGCCGTCCAGGATTGTCCACGACCCGAAGGGGAGGCTAAATTAACGCAAAAAATGTCACGATTAGTGTGGGAGGTGGCGACGCACTGATTGGGGCTCTAGCGGTGCAATTATGCTGCCTGTAAAAGGACTGGTTGGGGGCTGAAACAATTGAAGGGTATTTTTAGCAAAAATCGGCGCGATATCAGTTTTAGTGGGGATCATAACTATTCAGACAGTGGCAGTCGACGCATTTTCAAGTCTGTGCCCAAAACTGTTGGTGTGTGTGTGTGGGTGGTTAGAGGCTAGCAACCAATTCGCGTGAAAACATTTGCTGAACTCACCAAAACAATCAAGACCGTTTTGATTTCTTGACAGCAAGAAAAAAAAACACTCGAGCCAATCCGAATTAACTGAAACTACTACAAGGGCTTTCTTTACGCAGGCCGGAGTAGTATTCTGTCTAGACGAACAATTACGGAAGAAGAAACAAGGAGACAGTGAAGACGAAAGACGGGGTGTCGGGGATTCAGCATCCTCAGGGCTATGTCCTTCAAGTTTTTTTTTGCAATTTTCATTTATCACACTAACTTTTGTACTCATATCGGCCGTCACCTTCCTACTGGCCCATTCATTTGTGAGTGGGCGCATTTGCACGGGTACTTTACCTTTCGCTGAGACAGGAAAAGCTTCGTGCACGGGGAAGCCCTTGGCGTGCTAGACAGGGGCCTTGCTAAAGTACATCAGTAAATCTTCACGCAGAGCGGGCATGGCGTCGGACGGTGCCGTGTTGTCTCGATATCTTATTAATGTGTAATCAATAATATTTGGAAGGTTTGGTCCACTGTCTACCGGTGAAGGGAGCCTGTATGAGCAAGTTCATGATTGGTGGTATGCACTGAAACTATTTGTGGTTAAAGGCATGAATTATGGTGACCGGTGTGCCTCACAGCTCGAATTTGACTAAATGAGTCCGCTGTTGCCCTAATGTCGTATAATTATTGACGGAATCCGCATTGAAGAAAGTGTGACCCATACGCTTCACATTTACACGACGGCCGGATATCCGCGGTTTGGAAGTTTAATTTGTTGCGGCCCCCGATGCGATTTTGGTGAGCCACACCACACTGACACGGCCCGACCGAAAGAATGAGTGGCAAATGCAGATGGTGCGTAGCAGTGGTGGTGGTGTGTGTTCAGGATGACAAGTGCGTTTGCATGGCTTCGCTAAGCGTCGATCTCTGAAGTGTTTTCACGAAAAAAAATCGATTGAATTGTGTTCACTTGTGCTTGCACGCTGCGTGCGCTCGCGACTGCTAACTGTGCTGGCTTCGCCAAGCATCGATCTCTGAACGCACGCAGCTGCATGAAGTGCATTCACGAAAAATCGATTAAATTGTGTTCACTTGTGGTTGCACGCCGCGTCCGCTAGCGACTGCTAACTGTGCTGGCTTGGTGCTCGCCACGCATTAAAGATTGACGTGTGAGGGGACGTCGTTAGGCTTAATAGGCGTCAAGTTTTACCTGCCTGGAATTCACGAAAACAGCTAGTCTGGTCCTAGTGGGCAGGGTCTGAGGATTCGGCGCTGTGTCGGAGCCACTCCCAGGGAACAATGTATTAGAACCGACCACTTTTACGACCATGAGGCTACCATACTAAACCAGAGATGGCGAACATGTGACTGGATAATGCTACCCCAACTGTGCATTTACTTGCTATCACCGGCGTTGTCAAATTTGGTCGAAAATACTGCGGCATCGCTTAGTGCTTCTGCATACCCTCAAACATCAATTTGCTTGCAGTCGCATCTGATCATTAGTCTGTGAATATACAACCAGATCAATACAGAGCAACCCAACACAAACCGTCTTCTCAACATCCACCGTTTTGAAGGAATGGTTTCACTATCACATGTGACCTCAAAGAGTACACTTCAGTCTGGCATTGTTAGCATCTAATGGCAGCAGAAGGAGCGGAAGTACGTCTGTGGTTAGATGGCCAAGAATGTACTTAGCAAAAATAGCTACATTAAGGGAGAACAATAATAGTTGAGGGATAGCCAACGCCAACGCAGAACCTGATCCATCTCCATTATAGCAATACATTCCTACCTACAAACCTTTGCCACAAAAGCTTACCCCGTAAATGCTACATGATCCGCTGTGCTTTGATCAAACAGCGATAGTAAAGAATAGTGCGTTATAAAGCAGTCTATTTAAACCCCTTACGGTGTCCTCTTTGACCGAGGGTTAACTGTTTTCGGTGTTCTAACGGTGAAATAAGCATTGTTTGACAAGGAGGTGATGCGCCGTAATGCTGAAACTAAACCTCAATTCAACTTTCCCAATAAGACACAAATGACTGGGTTTAAGTAGCGTGGAGGACGCAGAAGTTACCACGAACGGGGTACGGCAATGTAACTTAATTATTTATCACTCGAGGGAATGGCAATGGCTGCATTACACAGGGACTACGGTTGGAGAAACGCTTAAAAGCGAGATACCAAAATTCCTTTGTTTTCACAAACGCGTTAAAAAAGGAGTAGCGGCGCAATAAAATCCTGACTTTCACACAACCACCAAACAGTGTTGGGACGACTGTCTTAGCAGAAACAGGTTTCGACATCCTACAGACACCGCATCAAGGTCGAAACAGTCATTTGCACTTGCTCGTTTACTGATTTTTTTAAAAAAAATGCGAAGTGGCTTCAAGAGAATTTAATGGGGCAAGGACTTCACTTGTGTCCAAATTTCTTCCGTTAACGCTGCACAATAATAATGCCAGTCTCTCGAATATTCATGAACTCCAAACTGTTTCAGATAGGACCGCCAGCAGCAAGAATTACAGAGTGGAAATGCCAGGGGTGCCGGTTCCCGCCCGTGGTAAATTTGACCAACATCTTTTTCGATAACACAAAAACACTTTGATTGGTTGTTGTACCACTAAGTACGAAGAAACTAACCGTAAAAGCACGAAAATCAGCTTGTTAAAAACAGTAAAGTACATATTAAGTGTACACAATTTAAGGGGTAATATGACCTTATAAACAGTATACTACTTATAGGGTAAATACAGTAATTTTCGTTTTTTTGGTCAAATTTGACCATGCAGTCGCTTATCACCGTAAACATATCATTTCGTTCCCATAATAGAGCATACAGATTATTGTTGCTTGCTTAAAAATATGCAAGAACGAAAAAAATGACCACAAAACGAAACTTTAGCTCTTCAGCGGGCAGACTGTTCCACGGTAACTGGTTAGTTAACGGGTTTCCAAGACTAATTTGAGACCAAAGAGATTGGGAGAGAAGCATTCGATTAATGGGCCAAAACCAAAGACCCTTGTAAGAAGAGGTGTTGGCTAAGTGCGTGATAGGCAGGACACAGAGCCAGGCAAGCAAGTAATGGGCTTACACGAGGCGGAGGGGAAGGACTCGTTGGGGTGCGCGAGCGAGGAGACGGGGTCGGCCGGGTGGAGGGGGTGGGGGGGCGCGCTGCAGCCCACCTCGTCGGGCGAGTTGGCGGGGTCGTCGAGCCAGCAGTCCGGCAGGCCGTCGCAGCGCATCGACGCCAAGATGCACGTCCCCGTGGCCTCGTCACCGCTGTCGCTCCGTCGACGACGACGCCGATGCAGGCGCAAGCCGTCACTCGACGTGCCGTTGCACCAGAACCCATAGAACTCGCACAATTCGCGTCCTGAGTAACACAAAAAGAACCCCTTCTTTGGTCGTGTAGGCTGAGTTGCGCTGGCACAGACAGTTTAAAAGTAAATTAGTCTTCATACAGTGGAGCTTCTGCCATGTCTCGTTATTGCGAGTTTTAACTTGGAGGGCTAACTTAATGAAATGCTGACGCGACTGTTTTTGGTTGCATTTGCATAACCGGTTTGTTTACTGCAGTTTCAGATATCACATTAACCTTAATCATGGATTTGTTTTAATCAAAGCTTTTCCACTAACGTGATACATTCTTACATCGGAACTTGTAGTCCATTCGAGTTAATGCAGAATTTTGAAATTTGGGTCCCAACCCTTTAGGGATTGAATTTTTGCGTAAATCGTGAATGAAACCAGCAACGTCATTAACACACAACGAAGTTTTGAAAGTGAAACCTATACTACTTATGCACTGTGTTCGAAATACACAAATTGAGGTTGTGTTCGACATTTGCGATTACTTGCCTGAGAATTAACTGCATCAATCGTAGAATTCAGTACTTCTCTATCCTGTCAAATAGACAGTTCTTGATGAGTTGGTGGACAAGTCTGGTGGGACGTGAGTACAGGTGACACACACGACCGCCATGGTAGGCCACAACTGGCAAAATCTCAGGTACACACTTTTAACGAATTTGGATGTGCAGAGGGCCTTTAAGGCGCATCTTACAAGGGAAATGGTGAGCAAATTTACCTTCGATGTCACTGTAGCCCCTATCATCTAATGAGGTTTTCAATGAAACTATGACAGAAGTCAACACTGCAGTGGCCGTTGTGGGTCTTCCAGTTCAGTTACTAAGCATTAAAGCACTTTCTAGTCTTGATTCAACTGTCTTAGATGGGCGGTTAGTGATGTTCTCAACAAGACACCACCAGACTCATCGACATCTAGCCGTCTCCGACGAATTTTGTGCAGTGTATCAGTTTTGATTGGCCGTGGCTTTGTTTAGGTTTAATAGCATCTTACTAACCGCAACTAAAAACAATTATTTTACAGTTTTGCGTAAATACACGATGTGGTATATTCTTAAAGGATACACTGAACAGAAACGATAAAAAACGGGATTTCTGATTGATATATAATAAAATTTGCGTAAGGAGTAAGAGGTATGAAGTAGCACCACAAAACTATGAGTTAGTAATCTGCCGAACAACGCGATAGAGTCGGAAAATATTGATGAAAAGGCATAATATTTGGGTCAAACCACCTCTTCAAAGCGTCTACTAAAGGAGATTGCCTTCAGTGAGTCAATGTAGATCCCCAAGAAGGACAAGGTCAACCCTGGATGAGCCAATGAACAAGCAGCGTCAGTTTAGGGGGCCAAATTTGCGTCCTTCACAAATCGGCTGGTGTGCGTGTGTGGGCGATAGACACGTTGAGATATCAAAGAGTAACAGTGCCGCGATCTTGTGTTTTTATCTGTGAGGAGGCGTTAATCAGTTCAAGGTACAAAAAAGTTTTGAAAAGACGCAATCGCGGATTGTTCTGCGAAGAATCCCAAGCATTGGTAATATTAATTTAACCTTGTCTATCAGCTAGGCTCCACGATACGCGCACTACTGACACAAATCACACCGTAGCACAGTTGCCGTTTGACAGATCTAGCACCTTACTTGTGGTGATTGCGTAGCATTGCTGTTGCCTGCTAGAACCGGTCTTGTCAAGCAGACTGAGCACGGCGACGAATGTGAAGTTGCAGCTCCTAGATGATCTTTGTGTCTAGAGTCGGTGTCACCACCTGCAAACTCCTTGTCAATACCTACTCACACACTAAAAACCGCACCACCTATCAAGTTGCCTTTTTCTGCTAGTAGCATCTGCGTAGCATGATCGACACCAATGTGATCAGAGACTGGTGTGGCGTGCAGAGAATTGCAAAATCCCTCGAAAGTGACACAACTGGAACCCACTTCGTGTTCGAGAAAAGTCGCCATCAAAGTGGAGACGCGAGGTGATTTGAACGCGCAGTTTCAGCTCCGGCGCCAGGGTCTTCAGACCGGCGAGGAGGCGTGCAGACGATGTGGCGTTGCTCACGGCCACCTCAGGGAAGCGACTCGGGTAGATGGCCCAGCTCACAACGAGCAGACGAAGCCGCCCACGCAGCGTAATGCTGCGTTGAGGCGAGGAACACGACAGGGTCAGGTTCTCGGGCTCCTAAGATTGCCAAAATAGAAAAAAACAGAGGCGTTTCAGTTCATGCTAAAAAACGTGGAACTCAACAGGCGGAACATTAATGAAAGCCTGAAATAGGATTGAACCAAGCCCCACATCGGACGAGATACGGTTGTGATGCGGACCCTCAGCGTGTCCAAAGAGGGCTGCCACACGGCTATGCATGTTTAAGCCTCGCGGAAGTTTTATGGCTTGGATATGCACTAACTTTGGGGTTTGTCGACGCCATACGAATCGGTTCTTCAAACGGCGGCTAACGTGTCACGTGATCGCCGCGTTCGGATACACCTGTGGGGACGAGAAAGCCAGCACAGTTTGCAAGCGTGACCGAACGCAAATCAATCGATTTTTTTTTCGTGAATGCATTGTGGACAGACAGTCACCGCGCGTGAGTGTGCTTGCCCGATCATATCGATGACTCAGCCCCTTTGTTATTGATTTTTTGTAAACATCCGCCTGCAACGCACGTGTATCGATTCGCACAGAGGAGTTAATTACTCGATTTTACTCGACTTGACTGGCGTGACGCGAATCAACGGCCGCGTTCCCTTTCGACTCTTTGTCTTCTCTTTTCACGGGTTGTGACCGGCTGTTATCTAAAGGGTTTTGCAGGTAGTGCTAATTTAGGCCGCTACACACCAATCGAGCTAGACCAGTAATAATAAACCATAGGCTCCGTTTAGACTATCCTGAAATTTTGGACACCGGTGAATGCAACTGATCACACTGATTTAAAAAGCATGTTGTGGCATGGAGTACCCAACAACGAATTGAGACAGCAGAGGGACAGAGACAACAGTTTATTCGAGAGCTCAGCCGAGTCGTCATCGGTGTTGTCGTGTGTGGTGTTCCGAAGCGTGAAGCAATGTGAGTCGTAGATGGACTAACATCGAGAACCAGAAAGTAGGATTGTTTTTACACGTATGGACAATCCAGGGTAATCACCCGCACTGCGCCGGTGTGAGTTGAGGCTCTTCTAAGACCGATAGCATGCTGCGGAAAGGGTAAATTGCGTCGGAGATTGAGGCAACCGCATAAATGAGTACAAATTCACGCCGTGTTATCACTTTTTAGGGCAACTTCCCAGTAAAACTTGTGAAAATATTAAGAAAATTAGGTACCTTACTACGGACACTTATCGCCAACAACGAGAGTGAACATCGAAGCTCGGCAAATTGACTGCAGATTGGCGCGTGTACTTGCTGTGGCCAACTCACATCTTTCTCGATCTCATCTTCACAGTACTCAAAAAATGTGTAAAAAACAAGGACGATGATCATGTTTTCGAAGTAGGCCTCGTGCGTTGCGTGTTCTTCTTGAATAGAAATTCACGAATGACGCCCTGTGAATCGAATTTGAAGTCAGTGTACAGCGACAACTGCTTTGCCGTCCCCACGAGTGGCAGATTGCATCAGACGACATCGGTTTGGCACTTGGCGCGTTTTCGATGTAAATCGTCTTATTGACTGCGAATAAGTAGCATCGATTTTTTGTGTTGGCTAACCCGCCTCTTTTCTTACTACGGTTCAGCAAACAGCTGGTAGTCAGCCCCTTTACCACTATCAACGGACGACTAGGAGTTAGTGTGGCAACAGTGAATTTTTTTACCTCGAACGTATCATGCACATTTGCAGTTTTATTATGCCACATTTACCACACTGCTTGTAGCCGACACTTTACAGAACGCGCATACCTGTGACTGAAATACAAAGCAGTTCCAACGGCCAAAATTTAGAAAATTACAATATATGGAAGTCAAAAATGACGAAAAGATATGGCAAAGAATACAATTTTAGCAACGTATGACAATACCAGGCTGAAAGGCCCGCCAAAATCGGAAATTCGAATGACGCCACCGCCACAAACAGAAGACCACAACACCGAACACGCCTGATTGACTTCGAGGCGAAAGTCAGTGATCTTCCTGGATATAATTTTGCTACACGACCCAATGGAGGGGTGGACACTTCAGGCGTTCAACCACCATTCACATTGCGATGGAAAAAACCACACCACATCACCTGTTTCAACCTGGCCCCAATTCTCGACCTCCCTCTCTCTCTCTCTCTCTTGGATCGCTTTGACTGTCGGCTCTCAACTAGATCACTAAGTCTCAAATACCCCACGGCAACGACCAATCACGTCGCGGAATTTCCGTTCACACGATCTTATTGGATAAAAAGTGCCTTCTCTGCGGATATTTGCTACATTGACTAGACGCCTTGCGTAACTCACGACATTGTCGATTCCTTTCATAATAGAGGGCAAGTAAAGACAACTCGGCAAGTCATCGTGTCTGTTTTTATGTACCGCACACACACACACACAACGGATGTCTTTGCAGTGTAACCAGACCCCTACAATTTGGCGGAACAGGCGCGAATTCAAAATTCACGGTTAAGCTTTTGCAATGGCATGCGGAGTCTTCAGTGATGAGTTTAGCGGTATTTCAAAAAAAAATCCAGGTTAACAGGACTGAAGCCTTGGTCAACCACAAAAAATCGCATTTCCAGATTGAAAGCAGACGATTAACCCCCGTCGCTCCCTGCCATCATTCAACAAGACGAGTAATTGAATGACTTTTCGGGCTGAACGCCAACAAATCCGATTAGCGGACTTGAGACTAACTGGGGTTTTTTGTCAAAGAATTTGCAACACTAAAACGTTTCCTGCTGGTTACACGGAAATACGCCGTGTCAATAGAGCACGCGTGTGCCAAAGAGAAAAATGTTCCATTCAAGTTTTTCCGCATCAAAATTAGCAAGCCATTTGCGTTAATGAATTTCTCTGACAGTGACAGCAGCAGTAGTATTGTGGCACTGTCATTTGAAAGCGCTTACTTCACTGCGAGCCTGAAATGCAATAATTCGGCCCATTTTTACGCTTGCGCTTGTTAAATTGTTAAAACACTAGCAGCAACTTCAAAATAACCGCTTGCAATTAATTGGGTTGGCGCACTACCACTAAATTACACCAAGTTACATAAGCCTCCAGAACAAGAACTAGCGAATCCAAATTGTTAGTGCTACTACCACGAAAGTGGTTCAACGAAATGGGGAATCAAATTCCTTTCCCCCAGTTGACTTTTTGGTTTTACCTGGATGGAACCTCGGAATGTGAAAAAAGAAATCTCGACTTGCCTTGTGTCCAGGTAGGTGGAAGGAGTCACCGCGGTCGTAGATGTCGTCGGCTTCGGGTCGCGCGGTGCCAGTCTCCGAGTGGTCGTTCCACTGGACCAGGCGCAAGTGAAATTCGTCCTCACTGGGCGACCGTCCCCTGGGGCACTCGATGGAAGCCCGAACGTGCAGCAGCCAAAAGTACACCTGTGAAGACCGAAATTAGCTCCTCAATTACCAAGAGTCCACATTAGTAAGCCAACAGACCACTCCCAATAACTAACTCCTACACTGGAATCAGCTCGGGCGCTTAACTAGGCTTGATAACATATTTGAAGCTCGAAAATGATGTCGGGAGGAAGCAGAAAGTAAAGGATAACTGGGAGAGTTAAAAGAGTTTACTGATTTAATATCAAGATGCTGTTTCCTTCATTGACACTAATGTTTAGGGCTTAATCACTTTGATCATAGTGCCTGACATGCATGAAGAATGTGGGCAAATTGTGGCCACAGATAACATTGCAAAATCCCTACAATTTAAAAATTACCCCTAATGCGGACAAAATGCAATGAGCTTAGCACATGGCCAAGACGTATTTAGAACTATTAAATTTGGTTATTTGCCGCATACAGAAAAGACGCGAATTCACAAAGGCGGAACAAGTGCAGCAAACTTCGGGCAAGTGTTGAAAAAGTAGAAACTGGTGATTCTGCAGAACCACTGACAACTCCATAAATTTGCGGAACGAAAAAAGCTACTCATTACAACAATACGTAATGAGTAGCACTCACAATATACGCTTTAAATAAGTAAACTACATCAGTGAGGTGAGCAATACAAGCAACAAAAAGGGGATACACGAATGCATTTTTACAAGCACACTTGCTTTCATTCTTTGAAACCCAAGAAGTGAATACTCAGTGTGACTCGGATTAAAATATGAAAGAGAATTCCCCGCTGTAAGAAGAAGCCTGAATGTGTAATGCGGCTAAAAGGTTTTCTTACCTAAGTTGTTTTCTTAAAAGTGAAAATGCATGGATTGTGCAGGCAACTGTGACGCAGTTGCACTGCTGGAAATCATTTTGTTATATTAACGATTTTTTTTAAACGCAAAAGAGCGAGCGTCGAGAAAACGATCTTGATCGGAGAAATATAGCCGAGTAAAGTGTGGGATTTATTATACCGATTTACGACAACCTGTTGGCATTGTTCAAACACCGAAAAGTAAAAATACTGGCTGTCGATAAACCTGACGTCGCGTTTTAGCACACGTTTGGTGGCGTAGGGCGACTACGGAAACAATGGGACAGTGCTAGTAGACAAATGCCACAAATACGACAAAAAAGTTAGACAAATAGTAGCACTAGTTCAAATGCGAGCGCACGTGATGCCAATGTGACATAAATGCCACGTTAAATGATACGCTTCTCTTAAGTAGCACGGCAACAAATTTGCAAGAAGCATGAGACCTTATGGCTCTTGCTGTACTGCTAGAAATCCCCCCATGCAGTTTATTACAACTAAGGAAGGTTATTGTAATAAGAAAAAGAAATAAAGGTGAACGCTTTGAGGGCACGTCGCCACACCATTCACGATCGCAAAAGCGACCCGAAACGTTTGTTCTAGAAACCTGCGCACAAGTTCGCGATGCCCGTTAGGACGTTCTGACGCCTTCCAGGTCTAGTTATTTTCGGACGGGCATGAGACGTCGGTTGCTTGGGCAGAGTCGAGGAAGCCTAGATGACTAGTTCAATTTAACTGACGGGACGTATTTTGTTGCTCAAAAGTTGTAATTGGGGAAGAGGGAATTTGTTGGTGGTGGTGTAAAAGGTGACGGTCGCAAACCATGCATTAGTTGCCAACAAATTGTGCGTGTAAACTACACAGTATTGTACAGTAAGGAAGTACTCACAAAACACGAATAGGAGTAAATATTCAAGAATTAGGAATCCCACGACCAGCCAGAAAAACAATGATTTGTGAATTTTAGTTCGTGCCTTTTACGAAATAATTATGACAATTATCAAGAATTAAATCAGCCTGAAACCCTCCAAACACAGCCAAGGCATAGGGGTGGCATTATGGTGGAGCAACACTGACGTCAAGTCTGGGTTGAAAATGATTACCAACGAGTGTACGCAAACGCTAGTCCATAAGGGTTCAGCGATTACCAGTAGGCATTGATCTAGTAAGGATGGTGCAAGACCAAATTCAGCAAAAGTGCCTCCATAAAAAGGCAACAAAATGTTAAATTTACCAACAAGTTATAAGAAAATACAGTAGGACTTGCGATAGCATGGGTGCGAGTGAAAAGAATTGAGCAGCCTCAAAACCGTCCAGGGATCGAAAGGTTCTCAAAAGCTATTCATTTTGAATAGGTTCACATTATTAGTTTTATTATTCTAATAGTGTTCGCGTGTTTTAATTTAAACAACACGACTGCAAGTTACTGAAAAAGTTACACCTCTTTGGGATTCGTTTGATTACAACATGTACAAACGCGAAAACTGAAGTACTAAACAATGGGATGATAATTGTGAGCGAAGATTCAGCAAATTTAGATTTCATGTGTGTCGAAGTAGCAAAAAATATCGAAATTAAATAACAACAGAATAAGAATATTGCCGCTTGAAAGACATTGGTTTAAGTAGCACAAATGTTCACAAGACTGTAAAAATAAAAAATTTGAGAATCAAATATTTTTTTGAAAATTAACGAAATATGCCATCAAAGTTCGGTACTTGATGCCTTTGTGTGCCAAAATACTTAGGTCAGATTAGTCGATTTGAGTGATTTTTGACTTAAAAATAAATAAAGTGACAACTAAAACAGGACCGCAAGAAGTGAGTAAAGTTGGGCAAATTAACAGACGAAACGAGACTGCCAAGAAAACTGTATTTACTAATTTGAGTATAATTAGACAGTAATTGTTTTAGTTCACTCCTAAATCAAGACTCGAAGTAGGGTAGGTCAAAGAAATCACAATATATGTGTTCCACTCGCGTATAGGGAAAACAAATATGAACAGGAAAACGTTCAAAAAGATAACCAAAAATTTAATGCGAATATTGACCGCGAGGGGAGACACAAAAACAACCAAGTTGGCTATCACTCTGTCCTGCGGGATGCGCCATTTAATTAGTAAATTTGATTAGGTGGAGAAATGATTGGGAATGAAGAAGGATACCTCCTTGTATAAAAAATTTCAATCCTTACTACGAATATACAACAAAGAAAAAAATTAAGTAAACCCATAACTAATTGCTAACTGTTATTTCGACGGCTAAGATGTAGAGAAAAACAAATATTATAAAACACAATTTGTAAAGCTGAAAAATAATCCAATTAGGGTATCACTAACGTCTATGTGAAGCAGAGATAAATAAAGCCTGATGTTAGAAATTATAAATAATTATCAAAAATAGAGAATATTCCAAACAAAATTCTTACCGCTCCATCTGTTAAAAAGCGTCTAACATAACGTCCAGCTGGTCTGACCGAGACTCCAGGACAAACAACGCGGTGACTCTTTGAAGCTACTGCAAAACTGCGCATGGCCGAGACGTTCCAATACAATACGATCTGATTGTGAAGTAATAGATCATCCGAATTAGAGGTTTTGATAAATCCACTACTTGCGACTCGGCTACAGTAACTTGATGAATTCAGCACCATCAAATCTGAATTGTGTGAGTGTAAAAGAAAGCTTACAATCTTCACATAATGCTTGTGAAACGTAAAGTAGGAGAAACACACATCCAATCAACATATTTAATGAATTAACCGATTTCAAAAAAGCGTGCCCCCACTAGTTTGTTTTAGTTTTAATACCTCAGTTCTGGCCTCATCTCTGTCGCAATAACCTCATATTTATGGTGCAACTAATGAGCCAATACACCCCTTCCCAAAAACATCAAAAAGAACGACCCGGACCGAACATTTCAATGGCCTTAAAAAGAGGGAAATTAACACAACAAAACAAAAAAAGACAAAGGTTTACAAAATTTCAATTATACCATAATTATGATCTCATTTGGGGAAAAAATTAATAGGATGCATTTAATCAACTTGTACACGCATCAACAAAACAAAGCTTAAAAGATCCAGACCGGTATATAAATGAATGTATACACAACCTATCGTTAGGATTATCTCATTGTTTCATAATACGCAGCAAAATGTCATAGGATACAAATAAAAAATAAATGCTAAAAAAATTTTCTTAAGCGAAGTAATTAATATGATGTTCCCCATCCTCCAGCCAAAGGTCTGCAATATAAACCATTTGCTCAAAACCGATTTGACACTATTCACTTGTGCTTAATTTAATCCCAGCCTATGTTCACCGTTATCAGTGATCTCCAAAATTTTTCAAAAATATAACACTTTTTTTGGTGCGTTGGCAATCCAAGCTGCAGGTATTAGTTTTATTACCTTGCGCCTTTTCACTACTGGGTTTCAGGTGAGATCCATTAACTTGATATTAAAACCATCGAGAAGAGCATTTTCCAAACTTCTTCCAGTAAAACCGTAAATCGGCTTTTTATTCATTCCGATCCAATCTCTGTATCTACACTTCTCTTTTTTCACAGTAAATCCATAACTACTTATTCGATAGTTGATTTCCACGTAGCATTGGTGTCAGTGACCCATAATCTATCAGGCTATAGTCTAATATTTACAAACCTGTGATCAGGAAATTCAGTAATTCTTAATACCCACTATTTCTTGTTTGCTACAAACTATAACTGCAAAAGAGCTGTTATTTGTCGTCCTGTAGTACACAAAGCAAAAAGCGTGGTTATCTCATACTTGATTGGATTGGCAAATTCAGTTTTTTGAAAATTAAATAATTTTTTTTTCTCGTACAAAGAGAACTACATCGTTAATTTGTTCTCTGATCATATTTATATTTTTGCTTTATCAAATGAACTTAGGCTATACTCAATTTGAGGCTCATTTTTTGTCAAAAGTTGTCATAATTCCGTGGATTCAAACGATTTTCATTTAAAACGAATTTTCAACTGACGCAAAGCTTGAGTGCCTTTTGTTTTGTCCGTATGCATTCACTTATATCACTGTGCTAAGTATTTCCAATAGTTTTAATTTGGTTTTGACTTTGTAGTTCCGATTCATCCACTTACATATTTTCTGGCTTGGTACCTGCCTGTAATTCTTCGTCTGTAAAAGCCTAAGTTCCTTGAACTTTATGTGACAACTCTTAAATCTTAAGACTTTGTCTGGTCAACAATGATTATACAGCTCTAGTCTTTTTATAATTTTACTTCATGTCTCACTAAAATCCCTTTGCTTTCAACCATATTTGCAAAGTTTACTATAGCACTCAAGCAAGAAACGATATCAATTAAATTCACTTTTGCTCGAACAATTTCTAAAATAAATAGTATCGTTCGTACTGAATTTAAAACATACATTTAATATAAAAGTCACGTAACGAATTTTGTCTGGTATAAGTTGAAGAGAACATCCTGACTTACAGCCTTCTTGCTTTTACTATGTATTAAGGGAGTGTGCTGGTTATGAGGGAGGGAAGAAGCATATAGACACATAGTAAAAACCTGTGATTAGGATCAACATTATAAAATAGTAATTTTGGGGTATGCGGTGGCTTTACTTTATCGTTTCTGGACCTTATCTAAGGGACCTAACACGAATTGTGGAAGTAATATAGGAAATTTTTTTTATCTCCGTTCTTTTAATGCATAGTTTTATTGCATCATAAACTTTCAAACTTCATTAAGGTCTTTTCGTTGGTCATGCTTTCTCTTCTAATAAAAAAAATTCCGCTAAAACCCGTGCCACGTTTAAATCGACACTTTTTCCTAATCTTTTTTATCTATTACTAGCTACCGATTACTCAATATTGACATGAACTGGCATTCCGGTTTGCACTTATGTCTTTACGGCAATCAACAATGAAAAACGCGATAACAGACAGGCAATGAAGATAAGTATTTCACACAGGCAGTAGTTTGCTTTAATATGTTAACCAACTTTAAAGTTAACTTTTTTTTCTAGGACATGCCAAACTTTTCTCAAAGACTTTGGCATCACTGCTCAAGTCGTATGGTCATTGGACGCTCTATCTAGAGTTGAGTTTTGTGCGATATTTAATTTTCTTTCGACGTGCCTACATTCAAAAACTAATAAGTGAAGAGTTAAATTAGCAAATTGGCTGCTACAGTTCAAGTCAGCCAACGCAAACGCACAAATGCAATAAATCATTAGACATTCAAGAAATTATTGCAGTCCCACACACAATTTTACCCAACCTACCTCTCTCCATGCAAAACAAAACGGTAGGAGTCCTAGCTTAGATCACCCAAGTTTAGTCAGTAAGTCATTCACCATTTTGTGCCAAAAAACATGCGCTGAAAATTCCTAGTCAGAAGTCTTGACTCCGAATGTGTGCATACATGCCTTCATTCACCCTTCTAATTACCCTTTGATGGCACGTTCACACGTAGCGCCACTGGAATTCTCCCTAGATGCCATATTTTCTGATCGGCTCACATTTCCTGTAGCAGCAGCAGCAGCTAACTCGACGTAGGGAGTGGTTAGCACTATTTCTAAGCTGTGATTTTTTGTCGAATGCCTTTCTGCCTACAGAATCAAGTCAACGTGACGTAGATGTAATTAAAAATAGGCTCTATGAGAGCTAAATTTTGTTTTGTTTAAAACCATATTTTAGTAATGACCAAGTGTGACAACGGAAAATGTCGGTCCTATTTACAGTGTGTTTTAAAGTGATCTTATATCTCAAAATCTTGCCATCAATCGGCAAAATCTTCTTCAACAGAGATTTGGTTGAACTTATCACCAATGCAGGCAATTTCAAGCGGATTTTTCGATAAAAACGGAATTTCCGTGAAAAACTTAACTTTAAAGTCACCCAACACTGTGCCTAATGTGTTGGTTGATGACCACAGCTCATTAACTCATGTCTTCCATTGACGTCTTAAACTGAGTCTAGCTAACCTGACGATATTCCACAATTCGCTACCACTTTACCAGTCAGAAGCTTTATGCTATTTCGTTGGCAGGAGTCATGTGGTGTTCCACAAGTCGTATTTCATTTGAAATGTTTATTTTTAACCGACCAATAGAAATTCGTATAAAAAACCACAAAATCAATACCTGTTTCTAAACTCACACTACTGTGACCATTTGACTTGGAAACCCATTGCCTTCACGGCAGGATTTGCAACAGAAACCATGTGTCCGTACACTGAGATGGCGAAGTGGTAGTCAATGAGAGTGTTATTGTATGTCGACTATAGCCAACAACGCATACATTTTTAGCTTTTTTGCATATTACATCGCTGGTGGGCCTAACATGTGGATATGCCCTTGGCTCTTGATTGAATGGAATATGCCACCGAGATTGTAGCCGATTTTTCTCAGTTATTTGAAGCAAAGCAAGTTTGGAAACTCGAAACCCATCATGAATACGGAGTGCAGTTCGTTAAAAATTTCGCTTAATCCCGAGATTTCACATGTAAGATTGGGAATGCTTGTCTTGGTAAAAAAAGAATGGAAGAATCCTCGAAGTGAATTGTAGCTAAAGGCTTTAGAGAGCATTTACACAAAGCGCACGCTAAATTGACCTAATCTTCAGTAAATAATTGTTAAGTTGTTTTCACCCGAAACCTGTCCTAGCCACTCTTTTTTGATCGAAATTAATTTGGAATGGTTGTTTAAATAAACTAAATAATCTGTCTTAGCATACTTGTGGGACCTAAAGTTTAAGACCCTTACAACAGTGCTGAAAGAAAGTAACTTAAGCTGGTCCACCAAAGTTTTGAGCCACCAAAGTCTTCGTTTGCAGGTTATTGGTATGTTCTAGATGGAAGTAATCACAAAGCCAAGCACCATCAAGTACTCTCAGATCCAAGCATGTCGCTAAGATAGGTTTTGTGCAATGCAACACGTAAAATCACGCCTCTTTTCTTCCTACGGTTGTACCCCCTCCCTCCCTTGGGCTGAGCACTGGACACGCACACACTTGGCACTAGCACGAAAGGGCAGCGCGAAAATGACTTTTAATAAAAGGCAACAGTCTAATTCTTAGAGGTGGTGTAGGCAAAATCGCCCGCAACGAGCTCCGTGCAAAAACGGCAAGTGACGCGCTCATCGTGGCGCAATATCACAGGTGTGGAATGCGCGGGATGTGAGTAGAAAAAATGCAGATGGCTAGTGCGCCTCGCGCTGAAGGTCAGACGAGGATCGCGATCGCAAGGGTGGATGTCCGCCTTGTGACTCCGGGTGGGACTCATCCCCAGGGGAGATCAGCAGATACTCGTCGCTGGCGATCATCCAGTGCTCGACGATACCGGCGGACCCTCGATGATCGCTGGGCGGGTGAATCTCAACTCCGTTACTCGAGGCAGACTGTCGGCGAGGCAGATCTTCGTGACTCCTGCCTACAGGAAGGAAATGCAAGAAGTGACTCTACCAACGTCCATCAATACGGAATTCCGTTTGAATATTCAAGATGATCAGAAGTATTTATGACAAAACAACCTGGTCATAGTTTTACCCTTCTTGCAACGTCAACCTCAGCATTTTATTAGGCATATTATAAAATATTCCCAGGAGTGCATTTACGTGTGTCCCTGTAATGAAAAACGAGAGCCTCGGAGTGCATAAAAATCGCTTAATTCTTTTATCTGTTTTCCACTGAATATCAACTAGTGCAATTTGTTGTAAAGCACGCGCCTACTTCGTGAAGACGCGAACATCGCGCTGGCTGAATTAGCCGAATTGAAGAGACCGTTTGCTGAACCAGCTGAGCTATGGTGTTGTGCCAGCTGTTGGTGAGCGTGGACCAATCGGTTGCTCGCACGAATTTCATCACATTGCTGCGCAGGAGTTGCCCCATCAGGCTGGGTTGCTTCCGGACGGTCGAAGGTTAATGGATCATCAGCCGGAGCCAGGGTTGTGCCACGGGCCAGAACTGTCCCATGTTCTGAAGCTGAGTTCTGCAGACGCTGAGCTAAAGTGAGAGTGGACTTCTGTTCCACTTGTTAACAAAAAGGAATTCACAACAAAAGCACGAGATTTCAGATGGCGTATTTTCCGATAACGGATGGGGTGAAAATATATCTGCCAAATACGGCGTTGAACTTCTCCAATGAGAAAAATGGGGTGATTTTGTGGCCGGAAAGAATAACAGTAATACTTGGTCTAGCATTCATGGCGTCATCAGCCACAATAGCTGGTGTGCTCACTAGTTGCAAATATGTTTTGGAGCCAATTCGATGCAGCAAACATTTTAGGCGTGCACAGGAGAGCTACAGACAATACAAAAGCCAAAATGCACGGAAGTACAGTCAAGCCGTTACCAGGCGACGCGGGGAAAAGGCAACTGCCGCATGATTAAGGCCTTACTAGGCACACAGACAGCCCGTCCCACTTCCTCTAAATAACATCCATTTAGCAGTAACTCACGGCTTAAGTGACTTGGAAGGAGAAAACGGAACGTTCAATAAAACTCGTAGACTACACAACACAAGTAACTGGAGGTGTTGAATCAAAACTTATCGCAGTTGCAGTTAGTGATTTGGTAACATCGGAAAACCATTTGAAAAACTTTTTGCTCCCTCTACCTGAAATTTGCAGTCCACTACATTGTGAAACTCTATAGAGCAACTTCTAATAGTATACTTATCGAACGGTCAAGTCACCCCAAACGCACTTAAAGACAAAGCAAAATCCACACATCACGTAAAATATCTGAAATATGGTAGCAATAAGGAGGAATTAGTAAACACAACCTAGAGCACTGTTGTTAACCAAGACGAACAAGCCCTAAATGGAAGGGTTAGCACAAATCGATTTACAAGACTAAAGTCTGATGGCAACAGAGCTCGAACACGGCAAATAGGCGACTTCTAAAGACCGGAGAATATGTATGACTTGGCACAGCAACACTCATTACGCAATAATTACACTGATCATAATCTGAGCCTCATCAATCACTGAAAACCCTGTGGAGGTGGAGAAACGCAAGACACGCACAGTTGGAATGACATGTCGTGTCAGCAAATCGCCAACCAAGGCCCATATTCATACCTTAAGGGTTTCATAGAAATTGTCAAAGTCTAAACATAGAAGTTTATGGATGAATGCAAAGAAATCGAGGACGAGGGAAATGAAAGACCATCACGTTTCATTAAATGGAAGAAATGAGAAGACAGTGATGAAGAAGACAATGAGGAGGACCGATATTTTTAATTCTATCGATTGACAAAAACATGGCAAATATTGTCCTATTTGTTTACCAGCTTCCGAAACAAGGCGAAAAAAGTTCCAAGGAACACAAAGGGAGCCAGCGTAGTTCTCTAATCTGACGTAGTTTTATAATCTAACCACTTCCCGACTACGCGTAAATGGCGGAACTCTGTCCTCCGCGAAACAGTGTTTGAGCTTACATTTCTCTGGGACTGAAATTTCCTGGCTAGTCCCTCCGTTGTCCTCATCTTCGTCTTCGAATCCACGAAAGGCAAATCCGATTACTGGCAGCCCAGGTGGAAGATAAGGAACAAGTGGTGAAGGTTGCCGGGCTTCACTTGCATCCCCCTCCTGCGATCTGGACACAGCAGAAGAGGTGCCATCAAAGGAACTATTCGGTGGTCTAGCATAGAGTGTGGGCACTTCTTCTGTTGCGGTGGTAAAAACGGCAGACTCGAGGGAGTACAGAAAGCGATCGTTGTCCGCTGTTGATTCGGTTTCGCCTAAGTTCTGCTTGAAAACAAAAAAAACAATACGTGACGAATGCAGAAGTCTAAGAATTCATATTATCCGTAAGGCAGTAATAACTAATGCCCCTTACCGTATCTTTTTGCTCGATTTTAACGCTAATGTTTCCTAACAGTTTTTAGGAGCTGACACAGCTTATTAGTTTACATCGGTCGTCGGCTTACAGAGCCTCATCCCAGGTCAGCACCTACCCCCAAAGAAATTTTATTGAAAGGTGACAAAGGCTGCAAATAGCCGTCTGTGCCAGTAATGAGCATTTGGATAGTAAATTTACACTGGTGCGTTTTTTAAAGCTTGTAGTAGAGGGAACAGGTCACTCTTAACAGGTGGACCCATTGTTTAAAGGCGATTTGAAAAAAACGCTAGGATTTCTAGACATTCGGCACGAAGTTAACGGAGAAATGTCAATATAGGCGGCAAAGACAGATCAGACAACACGACAGTAATACCTGCAATAGACTAGAAATGCGCATTAGTCTGGCACATACCCAGTCAATTGAGCGTTGGTCGAGCCTACCTTCATTTTCAATAATGATCACACAAAATCCGCTAACACACTGTCGTAAAGTTAACCTGTGGTCACAAATTGCCAGGCTGGCCTGTTTGCTGGTAAATGTGACCACACAAAATGGCACTGCCGAGATCATCTTTGAAATCTTGAAGTGACTCACACACGAGAGCCGAGATTCGTGCAAGTGTGATCCAAGTTGAATAAAGTGCATGCTAATTTCCTACCACCCACTTGATCAAACCTGCCAAACGCCTTGTGGATTTGCATATCTTCCCAAGCTCGAGTCCACATGCTTTAGTGAATAGAACGCATCTTAGCAAAAGAAATATTCCCGCAAATTAACATTACCTTTTAATAACTGGGGACACGGAATGTGGCTTTCATACATTTGCATGCATGTGAATAGTTAAGAAAACAATGATAAAACAATCGTAAATCACTTTTAACAAGGAATGTCTACTCAGTATCGAACTGCGGCAACGCTCTGCCGCTCTTGAGTATCGCTACCAACCTTACCACTTTATTTTAGTGCAAGATTCAGTAACAAGGAGCCTGAAAATGAATAAACGGTCGTAGAAAATATCGAGGATGCGATAAATCGCGGGTTTTGAATGCAAGTGGCGATATGACGCATAAATATTTATATTAAAAAGTTATCCATAGCCACAAAAGCCAGTTTTGATTATACACGATCAAATCTTGAGAGGTCATATTATCGACTGTGCCCAACGTCAACTATTACACACTAATTCGAAGGCCGCTTTTCCAAAAAAAAACCAGATATTGGCAAACATTTTAGAGTGCAAGCCAAGTCGCTGATTCATGTGTGAATGAGTGGGCGAGTGAAGTCAAAAAGAAACACGTTTCTCACATCAACAAGCGAGATGACTTGACCTAAACATGACTTTAAAGTGCCGCAGTTCAAAAAATTGCAAAAAAACCCACCGTTACCTCGATGTTGTACTGCCCCAAGTCTTCAGCAGCCGAGACCTTGCCTCGCCAGCCAATCCGTGAACTTCCTGAGCTAATTCCAGATATCTTCTTCGTCCTTCTCTGTTTGAACATGTGAGTCTGACTGCCTGAAGCACTATCTCGTGAAGGTAAAGGTGCTGCAGTACCCTCTTCCAGGACGACGGTGTCGTCTGAATTGCGAGAACCCGTGCCAAACGGTATATTAGACCTCAGATTCCGTATTGCATCACGAAAAGCAACGGAAATCCGACTGGTTCGAGACAAATCAGACGGAGTGAGTGACAACCGGATGGCGGAATCGAAAGAGGAATGGGGTGAGTGACCATTTCCACCTTGGGGTTTTGGACGAAACAACCGCTGAAACAGTCCCGCTCCCGACAGGTCGCCTTGTAGTGTTGGTTCTGGGGGAGCTAGAAAAAGAACATTTTAAGTAAAAAACCGGGTAATACCCGTCGGAGAATAGCTTTGACTGATGCTGATGCAGCAACAGGTTAACACATGACTCTGACAGACTACAAACGGTTTTGGGAAAATGAAACAATGGATTGGCGTAAGATTATATGGCCCCAGAAATCTGGTTGACCATTAAAAACGCAGACAGTTATTAACAATTAACCGTAAGCGAAATGAATTAATAGACATGTGGAGTCATATAAAGGCTACAGATATCTGTTTAATGCGACGTTCTGTGAAAGTAAGCGAAAAATCACTCTACTAGTGCTCAAAGACACTTCTAAAGCCTCACCAAAAATAACTTCGAGCAAAAGGGTTATAAATATTGAAAAAGTAGATTCTTAAATCATCAAGGACGCATAGTCCTTGGAGAACATTGACTTGGCTCCTCTTTATTAAGATTGGGGAACAGGTAAATGATGGATTTAGTAATCGTTTAGGTAGGAAACTGGATGACTTAATTCAACAAGCAAAATGGGCTGTAAATCGCACTGGGCAAATTTAAATCGACGCGAGTTATGTGCGGTTGTGGAGATCCAAAGCACGCCGTTTGTCGGATTGGCCCTGTGGGATATTTGACAGGGAAGATATCCCAGAGGAGCCAATTAAACGCGTGTTTCACAACGTTCGATGTGTTTAGGGGTTAGATGCGTTTAAATGTCAAAGGTCATCGGTGTTTACGGCATTGACAGATTGAGTGACAACGAGTTAGTGACACAGACAATGGTAGGCCGAGTGCGTAACCTACGTGACTGTAGATTTTGTAGCTACGGTCCTCAAAGAATGCAGTCACAGCGTAAAAGTGGATTGAAGGAAGACATGACAACGCGCATGGATCTTAGTTGGTTTGTGGCATGTGAAGTTTGCTTGGCAAGGCTACTAGCTTAAACGGTGAACAAAAAAGGTCCAGCTGGGTTCAAGTTGATAAATAACAAAGGCATTACAGACTCGATGATAAAGAAGGGAACCATGGCAGGAATTTATGTGGCCATTTTCCAGATTTAGGAAAAAAAGTAGAGTAAGAATGTAGGTTTTGGCGTTGAAAAGGCTTGAGGAAAACGCAAGTGCTTGAAATTGACAAGAGTATATTAAAAACTATGAACATGACAAAAAAATTAATCAGGAAAAACAACAAGTAAATGGGCTGTAAACAGTTTTGAGGAAGAGATTCAGAGTACGGATACTTAAACTGGCACGATAGGAATAAGGCTTTTACTTTGCGCCAAAACACGGTTGGGGGTAGGCGTGGGTGCAAGAGTTTTGGAACTCCCTGCACCTTCAAACGTGGCATTCATTGGAAAAAACCGACACCTGTAGGTATCACGCGAATCAGACAGAGGTCAACAAGAGTGGAGTGTCAAGTCACCAAGTCACGCAGTCACATGACGGCTTTAACAGCAGTGCTCAAAAGCAACTCAAATAGCCCTCACACACAGCTCAGTGAGGCAAGTGGCAGAGTTGAGAGCAAAAAAGCAACTGCAAGACCTATTGATCAACCTCGGACCTTGGCCGTCACGTGACATTACTGACATTCAGGATATCGGGGAGCGGCCTTTACAAAGACAGTTTAATCCTCGTTTGACGCAAATCTGCCTGAGTGTTTTAATGGCAGTTTCAATGGGCTCTCTAAATTGATCCTCGCCCCCTTCCTCCTACTGGCGAAATTAGCCCGAGTTATTTAAGAAAGTTGTGCGTCAGGCAGCCTGACACAAGCCGACTTCAAACGGACTAACACAATGCTGAGGCCCTCTAAATGAAACAAAAAATAACCAATCACATGAGTGTTTTGAGTTGATAGGCACTAGCGGGTTTAAGGCTGCGAAAAAAGGGACGGTTGGATACTTCGAAACGTGCTCGTGTAGATCACAGTAAATGCCGAAAACATTTTGGAAGGAGAAAAGATTTTATACAGGTAGCTAAAGAGCAAATATCGTGAGACAAAAGAATAATTTGGTTGCGCTATGCAAGCAACGAATTCAAAACTTTATCAAGACAGCGACTTGCATTCAGACGCGGGAGTTTCCGAGGTCTTTCGTTTTGAGAATAGCCTGAGCTTCGCAACCTTCCACATCTGGACTCAGTTGAAAAATGAAATTGAGCTGACTAGTCCACCGACCCACAGCACAGGGTCCAAAGGTTAGGAATACAACAATCTACGATGGGCCACAACAAGTACTTTACTAAATGTTTAAAACTAGATCAGACAAACATGATAAGAGGTTGACAATGAGAAGGATTGATGCATTTCTTTTATATCTTGGGGATACTTCAACTGTAGCTTATTAATGATAACTTTGCCCAATTAATGGGCCGAATGCGAAATTAATCAAGCAAGCTACACAGTATTGATAAAAAAAACTTTAAGATCAAGCCACCCCATCATTTATTGAAAGAATCTGTATTAAAACTTGACATCTTTTCATAAATTCACGCAGCAAACAGTACGTGAAATCCGTATTAAATGCAGGGATCGAAAAATCGAGGTTCAGAATCTAACTGAAAAGGATGCTTGTATACAAACTCCGTCACAGGAAACCTGCTATTACCAGCAACGCTAGTATAATAAACCAACAGAATGTTTGTGTGACAATCAAGTGGAACTCAAAGTTGAGTAGAGTGTCAATCTGTGTAATTTGAAACAAAAAACAGGAGAATCCCATCTGACGCAGTTAGAACACAGCCAAATAGGCGGCAATGAGTGAAAGGTATTTGATACCTTAGGCGTCAGTCAATCTCACCTGCTTGAAAGTTGACAGTTGGGGAACACCTAACAGCAAAGCAGGACACAATTAATTTTCATGTACTTATACAACTTTTTCACATGAACTCACCCCGTAAACGCCTAGGCGCAAAGCGGTGTCTTCTGCCGCATGAATCACCTCAACGTCATAGCACTACTAAGACGCCAGAGGAGCCTCGACTGTGACTTGATCAAGTGACCACGCCAAACAGCGATAGTCAAGAATAATACGCTCTAAGAGGGTTAGCGTTTTCAAAACTTAACGGCGTCCTCTTTGGTCGAGGGTTAACTGCTTTACGGTTTGCAAATGGGCAAATAAATGGAAACAGCAGCACCAATTTCAGCAGACGGGTTCGTTGTAAGTTTTGTAGAGGAGTGCATTGTTTACAGACTAGGTGATAAGCTGTAATGTCAGAACTAACCCACAAGACGAGTAATGAGGCGCACCGGTGATACGCTGTCATGGTGCGTTTTAAGACTAGACACGTCCAAGTTGGCATTCGCCAAATAACGAAACCCAGTGGAACACAGAGTTAAGGTGTCCCAAGGGGACCCTTTCGTTTGCAAGATGCGGCCATCAAACAACCCGGAAGAACTGGAAATCTACAGATGCAGTTGCCACGACACTATCTTTTTCAGCAGGTTATAAATGGGGCGGGCAAATACCACTGGATCCGTGAGACCAGTTGATTTTTGGTGCAGATAATCTGTGTCCAATGGTGTTAGCTACTTCCTCATTTCAAGTAGTCCAGGAACAATGCAAAACCGTGCAGTCTACGATAAGCCAATCTTAAACTGGCAATATCCGGGATAAGTAAGTTCGACTTCGAAAGTGCGGAAAGAGGGTGGCGCCAGTAAAATTTGAAACAAACAAGTGCGGGTCAGTGCGTGCGTGAAGAAGTGCAGACAGTCAACAGTTAATTGGCGATGCTTTGCTAAAGACTCCAGTTAACTGCATGAGCAGCCAGCGTGCAAAGGGGAGAGCTTTTGATCAAAAGGCAAGATGTCAAAAAGACTCAGGTTATGTCCACGATGTTATGCGAGTTTTGACGTAGTACCAATACTGTCAGCACCACTACCAAAGTCTAAAAAAGCCGGGTTCGAACTTCCGATAAATGGCAATTTGGGAAACCGAAGACTTTGCCAAAGTTGACTAAATTTGACACCTATCTCAATGAAATAATTTCAATTTAGCGAAAGAGCTTAAGCATCATCGTCTGCAGAGCCACGGTGATTTAACGTAACTGAACAAGGTGTGGGTTCCACATCAAATTTTAGTTGAGGTTAGGAATTCGCTTTTGTCCAAGTTAAACTAAGATGTTTCTTCTTCAACAAATTATTACGAGCGTCGAGTTCCATTAAACGATTCATGAAAAAAAGGCTTTAAGATCAGAACATCACCATAACTTCAACGAAGGTTGGCTTTTACTTTGAATAACCGTTGACCATTGTGGCGTAATTTTACGAGAATTACTCATTATGGCGCTTAGATTGGTTTAATGACTATAACCGTACACAGCTTGGTAGACTGGTCATAGCTTTGTCGCAAAAATATCACTAAGATCATGGCATATTCTAGAGTGATAACTCGGGGTCTCCGTTGGCCAGAATTACAACGAAAAATCAACATTTGGTGCTGGCAAAATCCTAGGATGTCCCTATGTCGGGCCGACAAATCAGTAAATTAATAATGTATTTCAGTGCGAAAAGTTTTCCAAAACTTGAAATCACTTTCATCTATCAAAAAGGTATTAAGGATGCGTGGAAGAGATGGCCCATAGTGGTGCGGGCTATTTCACATTTTAATCTTTGGGAAATGTTAAGGGAAATCCGAAGGCAATACTTCTTACGAGCACCCACAATGTGGAGTGGCCCACATTTGCAGGAAAGCCCCATGTATTCAACAGTTCCTGTGTAGGCTGTAAATCGTGCTTCCGAAACAGACATAGTCGAGGTTAAAACATGCTACTGATATCGCTAAAACGGCGATGCAATGTCAAGAGTAAAACGTTCAACCTGCAGAGCAGTAAGTGGAGCAAAGAGTGTTCATTTCAGGAGGAAGCATCAGTTCAGAGACCATTTGTCACATTCAAGATCAAGGCCGTGGAATAAGAGAGTAAACGGTTTCAAGACTACTCCAACCATCACCAAATGTCCTGTAACGTAGGCGATGGATGACATACAACGGCAAACATTTCTGGAATCTACCCGCCTAACTCACAGAACACAAACAGCAATACGTCTCCGAACAATTGCCTTATGGATGGGCGGACACCAGAAGAGAAAGTTAAAAAATTCTCATTTACATGCTGAACGCGTAATTCCTGAGGGCTAGTCACAGGTTTTGTGCACTACAACCGCCTTAGACAAAAATAGATATTCGTGAGATGGTACCACATGGCCTTGCTTTGGCAATAGTCAGGTTGCATGTGGGTAACAGAGTAATTGCATTAAAAATATATCAATTAAGTTTGTCGTGGTTATTTGTAAAAATAAAGCCCAATGCCTTGTGAAATACGTGCACCTTGTTCAGTGCTATATGCTCGAAACGCGTGTTTTTTTTGTGAGATACTCAATCTAGCAAAGTTTAGCAAAGAATATTTGGCAACCATAGAGAAAGAGTGGGAGTCCTAGAAAACCACAGCATACATGTAGGTAACCCGTTTATACACCGTTTCGATGTTCGGTCGGGTTGCATTGACACATATATATTGCTGGTTGGAGACTGGTTGAAAGCCAATGCATGCTTGGGGCCCATTCAGGAATAACTTGATCTTTCAAATTGGACTGAGAATGCCAACGGCACCAACTAATATAAACAGATGACTGACATGGATTAGATTCGCGCCAGTCCACAATGCTAAAATCGATTGCATTAAGTCGCACTCAAAAGGTTAATTCAATACTCTGTCATCTATAAGTACAGGTTAATACATGAAATTGCTATGGAAATATCCCTAAGATAAAAGAAGGATCGTACCGGATGCTGAAACGGCGACATTGGTACCAATGTAGGGGATAGTTGGGGAATCGGCTTGACACCGGAAAACGGCCGGTGCTGTCGTCATTGAATTTTGATAGACAAAACTGTCAAGTGGAGGGTATAGAAATGTCGATGGATGCTGTTGCGACCGCCTTTGTGGTGTAAAGGATGAAGGGAATTGGGGTACGACAGCCAGCCTGGAATCCCGGATCATCAGATTGGGATCTTGTGTAGTCTCGTGAACAGCATTGGTTGTGAGTATCTTGTCTCTTTTGCGCTGCAACCACAGCTTGTAATATTTCATACAGGTCAAAACTATGGCAACTGAAAAGCAATATGTAGGAAAATATGTAAATATCTGGTTGGAATTACAATAGAAATTCTTTAGAATATTACCAGTTGAAATTCATGGGGGAATAACAACCAAACAGTTTAAGTAAGTATGTTGGTGTACCCACATTTAGTGGAATGGGTCGTTCAAAGAAAATAAAGAAAATTAACATTCATAGCTTGCAGGACTAACATTTTAGTCGAAACGTGACGGCTTTTACTTGCAAAATATTTTATTAAAAAAAGTCTTAACATATGGTAATCGCTTCTTAAGCAAAAGGATATGGATAAACAATTAATCAAGTATAGCTAATTCAAAGCAGCCACTAGAAAGTGAAGCTGCATGTGAAGAAAGGAGATAAAGTCTCCAACTGTGTTGCAGCTATAGAACACAAACTACTAGCTAATTAATTTTGGGTAAAAGAAAATTGGATAACAATGGACCTTGAAGTAGAAAACAGCTTTGATTTTATTCTATCGGAATTGAATTACCAAACCCATCATTTTCATCGCAAAAAGGTCTGCTGTAAGGCCGTGAGAGATAAAGCTCGACATTAAACAAAAGAGACCAAATTAGTTATCTAGACACCAGAAATGGCATACCAAGTAAAAGGCAGATCGCAAGTGCTCCGAATAAAATGCCAAACGAAGACCCCATCGACCAATATAAGTCTTCATTTGTAGAAGCTTCAGCGGCCTTAAGAGTTAAGGCGAAGACCAACAGCACGACAAATAACATTTTCAATAAGGCTTAGTTACATAATCGTCGGCCAAAATATGAAAAAACCTGAAAGTATAATAAAAAGGTGGTTAATAAATTTTAAAGAAATCATTAAATTGGAAAAATTATTAAAGAATACACAAAAGAAAAACTAAGCATTCGAATGACGTCGAATGAGACGCAGATTTAAAAAAACGCACAGGAAACAAAATAAAGGATAGGATGGTCTTATGTATCTAAAATAAGAATCCTTAAATATTTGTAAAAAAACCTACAAGTATCCATATCCAGCAGTAATATTTCAAAAGGCTACCTTGTGACATGCCAAAACATATTCCGAATTGTACGAGAGGGGACTAAAATAATTTAGACCAAACTGCCACAGTGGTGAAAACAGCATCGGTTGTCGAGAAGAGTTAGAATTAGACAAATTAAATAAACTGAGTAATGTATTAAGAAGCTAGAATGCTATAGACAAGACCACGTGTTATAAGAATGTGCGATTCAAACGAAGTTAACGTAACGAATCTCCCCTTGGTTAACAATTATACATCTTAAATTGGAGGCGTTCATCTAACACAATTGCTCTGTAAAAGTTGTATTTTGACATTTTCGACTAAGTTCGACATTAAATGCATGAGTAGTTAAGACGCGCAACCAACGCACCAAAAGAGATCGACCTACTTGATATAAATGTTCAAGGCCATCTAGACAACATCGAAAGTTACTTTTGATGGAGCTAAAGAAAATATAAATAATTCAATTAGAAAAAAATTAGGTAAATATAATGCATTAGTACAATGCAACATTACAAAATCAAAACAGTATATAAAAAGAGGTGAAATAACATACTTTCAAAACCTAAGTAACGAAACATGAGACAATTTTCTCATGTAAGTCTTGAAAATGACATATATTTACCAATGAATAAGATTACATTATTATATATGTCGCTTAGCATCGTTCTGAGTAGCAAATTGTTGTATTTTTTACTTTGGATAAAATATAAATTGAGGTTTTAGCTTGCTGAGGAGGTTAAGTTTAAAGTTAGGCTAGCTATGATGATTAGTAAAAGGGAGTTTTGTATATTGTTTGTATCTTTGGTCATCTATGGTCCCAAAATTGTGATTGATGTTGCTTAAGAAAGGAAATTATTTTTGCAATTTGATTCTGTATGAATTCTAAATATCTTAAAATTATTATTGACAAAATTATATGCGTCTTTAAAATTTTACCATGTAACCTTTTTGGTATTAATGTACACCCTCTAATACAAGTGCTCTTATTTGTCCTATGCTTTTAATCGCCCAATTAAATGCGCGGATATTACAATATTCTGGCGATGTCGGTAAGTCTGTGGTGCCTCATTGGTATATCGTTTTCTTAATGGGTTTTTGATATTGTGTCCTCTGTTAAGCATTTAATGCATCTTTTTATTTTTGAATTCAATGAAATTTTTTGGTATATGCCACCAAATTACTAACACCTTTTCGATTTGTCGAATTATAGGTTCGAAAAATGCTTCGCTTTCATTAAACCAAATTTTGTAGAACGTTCCTGGGATATGATGTCGTCTATTTCTTACGATGCCTCTGCTGCGACTGTTGCCACCGGAAACGCCAAGGCGCCTAACAATGTTGCTTCTCTAACAGCTGCAGCTTACCTTCGCGGGGGAGTTCAGCACCCTGTGAATCCCACTCCCGACAATAGTTTTATGTACCAATATACCGCGCCTCCACTGTCCTCCTCCCCGTCCCCTTATCCATCTGCGGCCCGTGATCGAGCAACTCAGCCTGCTAATTTGCCGGCGCCCTCCTACTTGGAATATGCTGCGGCTGCAGCTGCACATTTACCTTACTACTGTCGTAAGTCGTTAGAATGTGACCGTGGTTTTCAGCTTGTGGCATTTATTTTAGCACGTAGTTCCAAAGCGTCTCAACTTTTTACAGTAAAATCAAATCCTCTTCTCAGTTACTCGGTTGAATTTCTACGTATTGTGTAAAGCACCATAATTACCGAAGAATTGTGTTTTTTTTTTCGGGTGGCTGTTTTTGTGCTAATTTGGAAGGTGTGGAAAGTATATTTAATCAGTCGAGTACACTAAGACGTATTTTTATTCACCCCTGCAGGTCTCACGAAATTTGGCTAATGTATACCCTTCAATGCTGAATCGTCTTTTCAACTTGGTGCTACTTATTGTATGCTCTAATTTCGAGCGTTTTTTGTGAGCACTTTCGTTCTCATACTTGTGGGGTGTTTTAGCACCCTTCTTCATTTTTTTACGGTGGCTATCGTTAACGTGTCGATCCACTTTATGAAGTCAACCTCGTTGCATATTTTTTTTATAATTGACGGATCGATCTGCCATCGTTCGTATATCCGATAATTTCAAGAGACAAGGCCCCATATTGCTAACACGTAAGAATGTTGCGAAATGTCTTTGCGAATATTTTAGGGGATTTTCGGTGAAACGTACACTTCCCAAATGAAATGTTTTAAACAAACTAGAAAACACGTTTTTCGTATACTTCTTAACGCTCTCCCGTGTCACTAGCCATTATTGAATGCCCTTTTTCTAACAAACCGCAATAATTTTTGCTGCTTGAATGCACGTTTCTGCCCATTGTTTCCATGTAAGCATAATCATCTGTGGCATTTAAGGCTCCAAAGAATATTTTTGTCTTCCGTCTGTTCAAGCTGAATATTTTTCTCAATTTCACCGCGTCACTTTTAAAGTTTCCCTGCTCTCGTCACCCAAGATCGAAACACTTTTGTATACATTGGCTCTATGTGGATGTTTATTCTTTTGACTCGATAGGTTCACATGAATTCACAATTGAGTCATAATGCGTACTTAATTTATACCGTATCAGTTATACGTCACATGTTGGTGGTTTAATATGTGTAATTTCCTTTCAATTACTTATGTATTCTCCCAAAATAGATCAATTAGCTTTTAAAACACTTTGCCCAATTTTTTTTGAATTATTTCTTTATTCCAACCTCAATTTAGGGTGACACAGGTTTTCGCCCAGCTATTCGCGCGACTTGTGGTGTTTATTTTGTGTTTGTCTGGTGGAATTTCAGGAAGTGTCTACTATGTTTATTTGAACTTCACTCTCTTCATGCGGTATCCTAGATACTGTTTTCAAATCTCGTCATTTTTTGTGAAGTTTCAAAATACAATTTGTTGAGTCACATGGGTGCTCTTTCGTCCATAATAGAAACTCAGATGTCTAAGTTAACAATTTGCCTGACTTTTGCCTCGATGAAATCTTTTTCCATGCATCCTGTTTTTCTGATGGTGCTTTCCACGATGCGTTTCGTCAAAGGGGCTCAAATTCTTGTATGTACACGAATTCACAAAGTGGTTTTCCAAAAGCACATAGACCTGCAGAGGCCTTGTGTGATTCTGTACTACTTAACGCTAAAACCTCAGATTCTGGTCCAAGTAGAAGTAAAATACCACCAATTCAAATAAGTCACATTCACTCGGCCCAGCCAGGTTTAGTTGCTGTGTGTATTACGAGGTGCTTTTGATAATACGTGGGAGAACCATAATCATACAGTGTGCAATATGTTAACGGATAGACCACTGCTGTAAGTCAACTCACATTGCCAGTGGTAATTAAGTGCCACTTACTTGCGCTGGAGATAAATGATTTGAAGGGGTTGGCTGTACTCACTTCTGCAGCCCAATACCTCCAAGCGGCCGCGGCTGCAAGCGTTGCCGCCGCGACTGCCGCACAGTACACCCCAGTCGATGCGGCGGCCTTCCTACCTCCCCAGCCCCATTCCACCCCTTCCACTGCGATAAACAAGGACTGCAGTTTCAATTACCAGCAAGTGATGTCTCCTCAGGAACAACAACAGCAACACCAACAGAGTGGACATTACCTGAACCCATCTACTGTTCCTCTGCCTTCCCAAGACCACCTAGTCTCCGGCACTGCTGTTCCGCCTCCGCTTTCCAGTAGTCGTTCCACTCCGTCTTCGTCGGCAGCCACGATGAATGTCCAGAAAAGGCGCTTCTCCTCGCCCCCTGCTGGTGGTAGCTCAGAGAAGCAGCCTACTTGCCAACAGAATCCAGTGGAATCAGCTCCACCGGCGGTGAGTCAACTTTGCCCCTTATTACGGCATAGTCGTTTTCATCCTTTAAAATTATTTCTTCGATACTTCCCACCAGTCTTCAGATGGTTTCAAGTTTTGAAAGTGCTACCTAGTTCTCTGTTGCAGATAACACTTGGAATGTGATCGATTTACATGGCTATCGGCGATTTTTACCTGTCATGGTTACTCTGTTAATCCTTAGATCCGCATTTGTAGCAGAAAGCGCAGGAAATGTGCACCGAAGTTGCCATTGAAGTCATCACTTTTCCTGTTGTTTTCACCTGAGTACACCTATTACTTCGCTTGTGCGGTACCTGCGTAAGTCGTGTATTTGGTGCCACGGCAAATTCACGCACCTGCCTTGGGTTTTCGCTAGTCACATTCGTTCAGTGAAGAGTTGACGTCTACTCAATTTCTGGCATAGTGACACCCGTCAGCGTCCAAAACTCATCTCTAGGTCGCAGCGTAAATGCAGGTCCTTTCCCCTGGTGAATCACCCTGCCCCGATTTGTTTGCCGTGAAATCAACTGTTACCACATGCCTACGGGTAGGGGTGTTGTGCATTGACTACGATTGCCTGATCGCTCGCCTGTGTATGCGCTCGTGTGTTGATGTGAGTGTGCATGCTTGCTTGTGCGTGCGTGCGTGCGAGCGTGTGTGTGTGTGTCTTACCGATTTCGGTCGACGCTATCTTGGGGATAAGGTATTGATCTCACTCTCTTGGTCCTACTGCTGCTGCTGTTGCTGTGTGTGTGTGTGTGTGTGTGTGTGCAACTCGACGTCGGCAAACACGTGGTGCTAAAATGACACAACATCGCCTCGTCACAGTATTGTGATTGGGACCACCGGTTTTTTGTATGCGCAATTTGCGTTGAAACAAAGGTGCCTATCGTTCACTTTGTGTATGCAGGCTGTCTGTTCAACTTACATATCCAGTCAGGTGTGTGTGTGTGTGTGTGTGGATTCATTTGATGTGTTTTGGTAGCTGAAGTAAGCACACTTATCGGTTAGCCTGCTACCGGTGTATTTTGATACTAAATACACTTTTCTAACCATCCCAACTTTTTCTGACAAGTTTATTAAAAGTCCACCCTTGTTATATCTAAACGGCTCCAAAAAGTTTCGAAAAGGCGTTGAGGAGAATGAGTAGACGAGATGTCACACGTCATTCCAGCAAATCCCTCCTTTATGCTGTTGAGCAGTAAATGGCGTCAAAGCACCAGTAGGTTTTGGTGTGATGCAAAGACGCGTTAGTTGGCTTTGTGGCATTTTGTAGCCTGCGCTGCACGCCCTTGAAATGTTGCAGGCCGCTCCATTGGCTGCGCGTATTCACATTCTGGCGATCTACCACATGTAGACATTTTTTTCCCACCGTACTGGTGACGCAGATTCGACGCGATTTATCACAATACTTGGTCCTTCGAGTATAAGTAACGTTTGGTGTACACTGGTTCGACACACATCTGAAGTTTTTCCCATTGTATCGTTTTCTGTGCAGAGGACGCTGCACGGCAAATTCTCGTCGCGATTGCTCTTGTTCATACCTTTTTTTACATCCTACTGGTTTGCATGAATTCAAACCACACTCACTTGACAATGCTGTCATGAGTAGGCGCCCCTATTGTAAGTTGTAAGATTCAATTTAAAAACGGTGCATTTTTACCAATTCTAGGCATCCGCACCCCCAGTTTATGGCATGAGTGAGCCAATGGCTCAACCTCGATGCGCAGATGGAGTGGTAGGTAGTGGGGAAAGTCTCTACACCGCTATGCTAGCAGCCGCCGCAGACCAACGCCAGCACCAACAACAACAGCAGCAGCAACAGATGCAGCAACTCTACGCCGCGGCTGCTGCCGCTGCCGCCTGCTACCCTCCGGAGCTGCAGCTCTACGCGGCACCGCGCATCCCCGATCCCTACTGGCCGGGCTTCTCCAGTGCGTCCCCTCGTCACCTCTCGTGGTACAGCAGGGGACACCAATTTACTCCACCGCCGCCGCCGCCACCACCACCCACGGCCCGTGAGGAACAGCCAACTCTTCAAGACTGCTACTACGATCTGGCCACGGCATTCCACAGCATGCGGTTGTGCGGCGGTGGAAGTGGGGTCCCCAGTGAGCGGGGCACCTATTCACCCATCCAGTATGCTACTGAGGCCGCTGCAGCCGCTTGGGGCTATCCCACGCAGTCCTCCTCACAGACCTCCTCTCCGTTCCCCACGCTTTACGGGGCGCTCACAACCCAGCACCACCTTCACGGCCACCAACCTGCCGGTCCTGGGTTGAGGCTGCATCAGACTGAATTTGATCCGGAAGAATTAGCGCGCTTATGTCCAGGGTAAGTACCGCAAACACATCTGCTCAAGTGCTTTTTTTACTTGCCCCGATTCACGATTGTCCGTTTTTTATTGCCAGTTACATAAGGGATGATAGTCTTTAATCTTCCATGAAGTGGAGGATAGTAAAATGCCCGTCATCTTTGGTAAATTTTGCGATCAATCCCCATTTTTACACAAAAATCTAAAAGTCGTTTACTGGACTGATGTCAACATCGTATAGTTGCACCCCTAGTGGATACTCTCAATCCCTGCACTTAGACGATGTTTCATAAAAACAGGTAATTTGCCTTTGTTCGCTTAGATTGAGGTATACGCTAATAATTGGTTTGGTGGTTGTTTTGCTTCTACATACAACATGAGTCGAAACTAGCGCCGGGCGGATTCTTTCCAATTTTAAATTTTCCTCACTTATGTCCGATTGTGAAGATTCAAAGCACGCCGCTTGTTGGATTGGCTCACTGGGCAAAACCGACGATTGCCTTGCACGTCAACTCACCTACCCTTTATTCACAGGTCAGATATCCCAAAGGAGCCAATTAAACTTGTGTTTCACAACGTTCGATGTGTTTTGGGGTTAGATGCGTTCAACTGTCAGAGGTCATCGGTGTTTAAAACATTGCCAGGTTGCGTGACAACAAGTTAGTGACACAGACCATGGTAGGCCGAATGTGTAGCCTACTTGACTGTTGGCTTTGTTACTAAGGTCCGCAGTTTCTAAACTAGACAGTTGTTCTAACCGAAGTGCTTTCCAGATTTTGGACACAATTTTCCAATACCATGGTGGATCTCCGTTTTTAGCTCCAGGATTTTTTCCTATTACAGATGTTAATGGCAGATTTTGCTCACTTTCTTGCATACTTGAGGGCCACTCAATGCAAACATTCACATTTATTTTGCATGCTTCTCTCAACATTCTCATGCTATTGCTTCGGCAAGTATCATTGTGAGTTTGTGGTGATAGGGTCACGTCAAGTGATCCCCTATTTCTGTGTGATTGCGTATCTATTTAACAGCAAGTACCGATTCTTAACTGCATTGGCATATAGGCTCATCTCCTAGTGTACTCGTGTTTCCTACTTTAATAGTTTCTTTCCCCTGAATTTCAGGCGGTGGTGCCAAACTGGACGCTAAACCCTTGATTTCGACTTAGTGCATCGGTTCTCTGGTTTCGTGTGTATGTGAATTTAAGGTGTAAAAAAACTCGATTGAATTTGTATTTTCGAGTTTAGATTGTCTGGGCGCAGATTATAGCGCTTCTGCCTTCTCCATGCGATAGGCTTTCCATATGTACGTCGCCCAATTGAAGTTATTTTTATCCACTTTAAAATCCATCCTCTGCGTGCTTGATGTACTTGGCCAAAAGCATCATTTATCTTGTCAATGAAGGCTAAAACGTATCAAATCGTTTGACGTTTGAACCTAATTAGAAATAGGCCAAAATGCAACTGGTTTGCCTTCATTTATCACTTTCAAGTGGCCGCTTTATTAACAGGGCCGGGGGAGTATTTAACATCTGCGGCGTTTCGTAATTGTATAATTGAGCTCTCGGTGGTGGTTGAATCTTGATGGCGCGCAAAGTTTTCCACTGTCGTCACATCCAAATTAGTGCTTCACACCATGGCTTCTTTCGAAGTCGCCCTCATGTTTCGTGTGTGTGTGTGTGCGTGCGTGCGTGCGTGTGTGAGCTATATCAGTCGCCTTAATTTGACGTCATCCGGGTTCGTGTAAATTTGCGCTCGCATATTAGCGAGTCATGTGTGTGTGTGTGTGTGTGTATACCTTCAGCGCCAGTTGTTTGCCAATGCGCACTGAGAGATCGTCGTTAGGCTCTTTTTGCATCTGCAATCGAGTGAACTTACTGCATTAGCAATGCGCTTTTTCGTTTTCCTTTTTTTTCTAAAACCTAATCTCATCGAACTTGACGGGTCCTTATCAAAGGGCACAGTCCGCCACTAAGCTGTACCAGAGTGTAATTCCTGCGAGCCTAAGAATACCTTGATGTCTCCGTTTTATTAAGGATCAACCCGCCGGAATTGGATCCAAGTCTGATCTGGCGCACCCGCTACTTTGTGATCAAGTCTAATTCCACTCGTCATGTCATGCTATCGATCCAACACGGCGTCTGGTGCTCCACTCTTGCCGGCAATGACTGCCTCAATAGGGCTTACCTCTCTATGCAACAGAATTCCACTACCTCGCAGTTTGCTGATGTAAGTCTGATCCGTTCTTTCAGCTTTGTCCTTGCAGTGCGGTGCTCTGCAAAACACCTGGTGGCTGGGTGAATGTGGCCTCGAAAACATCCCACTTTTGTGGGGTGTGGGTGGTGTAGTTCTGGTGCTTGTTTATTAACTTTCAGGTGTTTATTTTGCCGACGATCATAGTAACGCCTCTTGACCACTCATAAACAACGCTCGCAGCTGCTCGGACCAGTGTATTGATCAATGATTGTCCTCTTTGTCATGAGTTCCCTCTGGCTGTCGCATTGGCACAATTTTCCTGATCCCTTACGTGACGACGTAGGTTGTGGTCTTGCGACCCTACTCTGTGGTCGCACCAGGCTCCATCCATTCGACCGTGGCTGTCACTGTGTAAGACGTCAATCATGCAGGTGGTAGCTAAACTCAATTAATGTCATTGCTATGTGCAAAATCGCAGCCAACTTTCGTAGTTCACATGATGTGCCTGTTAATGCAAAGTAACCATTATCTGACTAATTTAGTTGCCTCACTGTGATGACTCAGTAAACCCCCCTTACTCATGCGACGTGTGTGTCTCAGACGGCGCCAGTACTCCCAACTTCCACAGGCTGCTCTTGGTTACCTCATTTGTGCCGTTGACTTTCTCTGTGCCTTTAAACAGTCACCGAACTCGGCTGGAGCGGGCGGCAACGGTGGGGGAGGCGGCAGTGCTTCCTCTGGGGCTCCAGTTCCAAGCGGCGGTGTGGGCTGGTGCAGGCCGGGCCGCGTGTTGCTCTTCTTTTCTGTCAACACCTCTGGTTGTTTCTGCGGCGTAGCTGAGATGATTAGTCCTGTTGACAAAACCAAGCAACTCGACATCTGGCAAGACAGCCGGTGGCGTGGCGCCTTCAAAGTCCGCTGGATTTATGCCAAGGTTAGTCTTGCCTCGCTGGAATAAACGGCTGGGCGTTAGTCCGCTAGTTGACAATCTTTGAGTCATTTGTGCGTGTTAAATGTTGGCTTTCGACGTCTGACATTGCTCTAAAACGCGATGTTGTGAATCGTGTTTATTCAACTCCTCACTCCGATCGATTCGCCTCTGATACAAGGCTCCCCTTCTCGCAGCATGGCGACAGCCGCGCAAATCCTCAACTCCCCCCTTCATTCACACGTATATGTATCTTGGATTAACCTCACACCTAGGTCTCGATGTTAGCGCATGTATGACTCACACATCCGATCTATAAATTCACACGCACAAACCCAACACAACGACACCAACGTGGTTGACCTCTGAAGTAAACGCTTGTGTCCGTCCTCTCCGGTCTTCTTCTTCATCGCGGGTATCAGGCAAGTGTAATCGGGCCAGGGTTAATTCAGTGGCCCCGGCGTGTTTCATGGCCACTTGCTGGAGCCCACAACAAATTGGTGACCCCGACGACAACAACCCCGACGTTGGACGAATATCGATCTTCTGGTGTCCGAAACGTTGACATTTGCTGTGCTGACGTTTGGTGACCTATTACCACAATTCTCCGGACGACTCCGAATCTCCGGATGCTACTAAACTCTGGACGATGCCATTCTACTCCCATCACTTGGCAGCGGCTACCTATTGTTCTGCGACAATCCTCCCATTTTTATTAGCCCAAATTTCTCCTTTTAACAATCTGGCCTCATCCATCGAGTCTCTCCTTTATTCAACATGGCCTCATCTCTCGACTTCTGACCAGCATCCAGCAGATATTTTCGACCGATTCTGTCGCCTGGTTCTCGACTGTCGACCACATCGAACTTTATCAACGATCTTACGATTCGGCATTATGCACGACTTCTTTAACGATCAACCTTTAGATATGCGAATGGTAGAAAAGGTTGTATCGGCAACAACGATTCATCTCGAACGATTTCCGAAAACGAACAACAATGCCAAGTGTCATAGCTACTTTCAGCGTGCGACAATCCGCCTCATTTCTACTTTCACATGGGCCACATTTCCATTGCAGAAACCTACCGCCTACCTTTCAGAATCCGCATCAGAAGAAAAGGTTAGCTGAATTATCTTGCTAAGGAAGAGAGACTTCTCAGTACGACCCACATCGGTAGCCATATTCCAATCAAGCGAAACCTACGGACTACCTTTTAGTGGACGAAGAGGTTCGCCAAATCCTCTCGCTAAGGGGGAGAGCTGTTGTGACCATATGCTGGGGCCCACAACGGCGACAAGCTGTTGTAGGACCTCGCCCACTTGTAACTGTGGAGGAGAAATTTATTTTTGCTGAGATTGACTTTGAAGACGTTGATTCTTGTTTGCCTAGAATGTTCCGAACAGACTGCTTCGTCACATTCAGGTGGAATCGTCCGAAAATCGTGCTGTCACACATCTGCGTGACACCAACGAAATCTTGCCTGCATCGAAAGGCGAGGAAATGCTTGAGATTATCCACAACAACTGGTGAGTTCAGGCCCGGTTTGGTTCGTGGATGTGCATTTCAGTGTTGGGTCATTGTCTCAAATTCGAATCTCAAGCCACTCTCTTCACGTCTGGTAAATGTTATGGGTTTTTTAGTGTTCTTGCGCTACGTTTTTCCTGTTATCAGAACCGCATACTCAACCAATTCCCTAGATCCTTTATATAACATTAGCTCCCATATTCCCACGCTGACCTAAGACCTCATACAGAGAGCTTTTAACCTCCCACCCAAAGGCCAAGTGGTCTGTCAAAATGTGCTCACTTGCACAAGTCAAGGTGGTTTTACGTGGATGGGGCTGTCGTGGGTGAATCACCAAATTAGTGGCGAGGTTCAGGGAATTGTGTAAACAATGCCGAAATCCTAACTCGAGATGAGCCGTCTTGGTGATTGCTGGACCCCCAGGACTAGCTCGTATCGACTTATTATTTGGGTACAAAGCAGGAGGTACTGCTTTCGTGGCGAATCTTTTTTACGTCACCGCATGTTCGTCGCACCGAGCCGAACTACGCCCACTCGCTAAGAAATGCCAGTGTGTCTAAAGCGTGTTTTCATGTGCTGGCCTATGTCTGTTCTTGTTGTTTTTGCCCGTATGTAGCTTGTGCCTCGGTCAGTGGCTAACCTCACCTCACCACTCTTATGGCAAAGGTCGAAATGCGGCGATAAGTACAGCTTACGTACGACTTCATTTATGTTCTAGTTAAACTACTGTTATGGAAAGCTTCATTTGTCAACTTACCCCAGAAGTGGATGGTTCTGATTTTCCAGAATAACTTCCAGTGGTTCACACTTTAATCAAGAAAGCGAACTCTTTAACGGCTATGTCTGCTTGTTCTTCATTCTTTAGATTTGAACCTCGGTCAAGTCTTCGTACCGAATAGGCACCCGCTCGAATACTCTCTTACTCGACCCAATTCTTTCGCTACACCTCTGCTTTTTGTGATTATTTGATGAAAAAAATGCTTTCCTTTTTCGTTTCCTTATGATTTCTTCCTACTGCTTGATTTACCACAGAGATCTCTGGCCAAAAAACGTTGGCTGCTACCGGTTAATGTGATTTCAACAAGAGGGGATCTGTCATTAGTCTCTTACCCCGTCTGTGTGCCCCCTCCCATGCCTCTTTCACCGTATGTGCCTTTTTGGAACTCCCATTCCCCTTTTCCCACCTGCTACCGTCTTCTTTCGTGCCTCTGTGTTAAGTCCCCTAACTAACCCGTCTTACCCACGAAGCTTTGTCCAAGGCTTTTGATACTTCACGTAAACAACCACACACTGCGACTCTGCCTCTGTCCTTGTTTACTCTAAAACCGACTTTCCTTGTGATTGGTCGGGGTTTTTTGATGTGCATGGAGGTGGGGACCGTGATCAATGCAATTACGCACTCCCTGGCAAGTGTTTGTCGCAGCCCAATGAATTCATTTCTTGCAGCGCACCGTTGTCTGAAGGTGGCCTAAAAACACCACCAGTAGGTAATTGACGGGCAAAGCATTCCGTTGAGCTATCATGACAAGGTATTTATAAGCCATTACAGCACATTTGCATCGTAGTGTGCTTGCCAGCCTTAAGTGAATGGCCTTCCCCTTGGCGTAGGTATTTAAAGCAAGTCGACAATCTAGTCACCATTCTGGGGATCTGGGTCGTTTGAAGCATTTCGCGGGGCCCAAGGAACATGCAGGATGACGCCAGGGCTGGAAGGTACCTCGGACGCATTGAAGAGGGTCGATCGGAGTCCAAAGTTCCCCCTGGACGGCTTTTCGGGTTCGCCTATTCTGCTGGTCAACTGGGTACCTCATTCTTCCTTGTGATCGAGAGAACACTTCGTTTTTTTATCTGAGCCGTGAGGTACACTTGCAAAGCTGCTTTAGGTGTTTGCTAAGATGTCCGTGAAAATTGAATACGCAGTGCAGGGATTTATCCGTTTAAATTCAGGGGTACGGCTTGGGTTAGCACGTTTTGTTGGCTAGAAGCCATTCTTTAACACTGCTTAATTAGTGGTTTCATTCAATTGCCCATGCGACTGAATCCACAACCACTAAGTACTGCGACATCAGCGGATGCTTCATGCGAGACAAATTTCGTGTCTGAGCATTCTCCGAAGTTTTCAGGAGTGATTGTTGGTGGCTTCGTGGAGTATGTGCTTCCTCTGCATCGTCTGCAATGGGTGTCAGCTTCTGATATCCCAATTGAAGCCCTTTAATGCGGAATGAAGTTAAATTGTCCTCTAGAGCTGTGGCCGTCCTCTGCTCCGAACTCTAACAAAAATAGCTACTGTGTCCTCCGTGTGGATGCTGTATAACCAAAACAATGTAATAGCAATTGTTCTTAAGGCCTTTTAAGCATTCAGGTGGCTCTTACGCGGCAGTTGCGTCTTACTGTAACGACTTGATTGACCCAACAACCCCCATTAATTTTACTACTCACTATTCATCGATAGCCAGTTACTGGTGATAGCCACCCACGTTTAAGTACCATCCCCATTATTTACACATATTCTACTGCTGTCTCACCTTGTAGATTATCCATAAGTGGATTTAACTAAGCTACAACTAAATTTGATTTTTTTAAGGATTGAATTGAAGGACACAAATGTTACCCTCCTATCATGCATCGGCGCGTCATTAATTTTCAATTTCGCAATAAATCGACAAGCCTACATTGTCGTTATCTAAAGCACAAATTATCTCCTTATTCCGCGGATACACCAAAGACGCATCTCCCTTGCAAACACCAAGTGCTACTGCATCTACCTTCGCTACAATTGAGAATGTTAACTGTGGTGCAAGCGCGGCAGCGTACATGTGCAAATGGCAATGCTAAAGCACAAAAAACCGCATCTAACTCTGCACCGTTCATATAACGACCCTCTACTGTGGCAAGTTTGAACTCGGTCGCCTTCAGCCCAACAAGCACAATCGGACATCACCTGTACTTATGAGCTGTAAGAGCCTGATCCATTGACTAACTGACACGAGGTCCAAGTTTCCAGTCTGTACCCTTAACACTCGGTCGTAGGACTTAGGATAAGCAATTCGGACCTGGAATTGGCGCTTCACCACCATTATCAATTGTTCCCCCATTCCAGATCGGTCAACTAAAGACACTACGGCTTCTTTCTAGCTAGTCATATGGCCACACAACCCGGAGCACGAGAGTCATCTTAAAAACCCCTCGTTTGAAAGTGAGATCATAGGTACTGTTTTACTGTCGGACAAAACCAAATAGGAAATAAAGCAGCAAAACGCAGAGGTTATAAGCCGTTGATGTTGGGAGACGGATAGAAGGAAGGAGGAGCATCTTAGGACGACCAGGAACCAGAACTGAAGGAGCTCAGGGAGGACCAGCTGCCGCACCGACCGAAGGGACGACCCCAGCCACCCCCCCAGCCACCCAGACCGTAGCCGAGGGTGCGCCCCAGACCGCCGAACATCTTGCCCGCGATGTAGCCTGAGGCTGCTCCCGCCGCCAGACCTGCAAGCAAAACGCCCGGCGTTACTGCTGGGATACAAAGCTCCAGTTGGGATTCAGTGCGAAACACAAAAGTCACATCATAGTCAGAAGTAAAACTCCAACTGGCAACGTTGAGGAATACGATGAGATGTACGGGCGGTGAGAACGGCACTCAGCACACCTAGCCAGTGTACTTTGTGCCACTAAGAATCGCTACTCCCCCACAAGCAACGCATAATTCGAACACACACATTTGCGTTTTACAGAGTGCATTGCACAAACAAGTACCTTCCGGCATGCGTAATTATTAGCTAAAGCTTGGGTAAGCCAATAGAAAAACGTCTCCTAAATACCCACATTGACGTTGCACGAGCTGTGCGCTTGTTATTTAAATGCGCCAAATTGGATTGGCTGGCAGTGGGGAAAACGACGATAAGGCAAGTGCGCTTTTGTGTGGATTGTGGGTGGCGCATTACTGCGTCGAACGCTTTTAGCTTAAAATACAAGGGATTTACGCTGACGAGCACGATCAATCTTTAGTCAAGAGTTAGTAAGCAATTCATAGTGTGTTAAAGCATGTAAAAGATTGCAACGTTAGGAGGCAGCCGTCCTCGAAGGAAAGCAAACAAAACTGCGAAATGATGCTGGTTTAGCAGGCTTCTTCTACTGCCGCTGGTAGGAAATCCTATTACTGTACATTCTAAAATGCTCTGAGGGAAGTCACGCCTAGACCAGAACACTATGCTGCACCAAGCCAACACTCAAGCCACTTCGAGTACAAAGTCGGTATAACTAACCTGAACAGGTTAGTACGGAACTACTCATAGCAGAAGTCGGCGATTTTGTCTCTTTTTTTCTTACAATGATACAAACCGCAATTAAAAGTAGAGGAAGGTTTCGTGGTAACTAACATTTCAATGTTAGATAACTGTTATCCTATTTGTCAAAAAAATGTGCAAGCAGCCCGTCACGTCTCGTTCTGTTGGGTGGAAATGGAGAAAACGCAGTAACAACACTCACCCATGTAGCCTGAATTTGTTCACTAAAATATTGAAACCACTATTTTAATTTAAATGTTCACCACAACGCTGGGAAAAATCATTTTAATCCAATAATATATAGATTTCTGTAAACACCGCCTATGACAAAATCTACAATATTGAGCTCTGCATAAATACAGTGAAGAAGGCGGTTTACCTAAATTGATTACTGGTATATGATAGGGTTGTCAAAAATTGTTTGTTGATGAAAATCACCGTACGTTCGTCGCCTCCTTTGTCGATTTTTTTTTAGGCAACACAACAGACTGCGAAGTAACTTGCCACCGCCTCATCCACATAGCGCGAACAGCCAAGATGCCTCAGCTTTTCGTGCATAGATATTTCTCGTGATTGTGGTGTAATCGTGACCTACAGACTGTTTTGAGGCTTGCGACAGCTTAGCCAACGATTTTGGCCCTTTGAACACAACGCGATTATAATTAACGCATCAACTAGCATTTATTGCACAGACAGGCAACTAATGCGGGACTCACCGAGAGCGGCCTTCTTCCACTTCTTTTTTTCGGTTTTCCGTCTTTGTAGACAATGGTGTAGGGTTTGCCTTTTTTGTCGAACATGTAGGGCTGCTGTGGGGCTTGGGGCTGGGCGTAGCCATAACTGGGGCCCGGGGGTACCGCACCGGGTGCTGAGGGCTGGTAGCCAGCGTAATTCGGCTGCGGCGGCGGTGGTGGCTGCCCGTATGGGGATCCGCCCATCGGAGCACCAATAGGGACGGCTGAGGGACCGTAGTTTGCCATAGGCGGTGGTGGCACTGGAGGTGGGTAGCCAACGGGCTGCCCTGCTCCTGGATAGGCTACGAAGATCAAAGCAATGCTCAAAAAAGCATTTCACACACAGCATGCATTGCCAATACTAGTGAGACAAAATTTGATCACCGAAAAAATTTCGTAGGAAATACACTAATTTTGGGGTTCTGACGTTGAGTGTGGCCACGACCTGCTTCGTAGTAGACAATCAGTAAATGTTGCTAACCAAGCGAGTTTCATGCATCCTAACGGCCATCTTAGGACCCATGTCATAAAAACAAAATTAAAAGTTCGACTACTCCTACAGCTTAGTTAATGTGGGTGCAGTCGTCAATCTTAGTGCTGGTAAAAACGTGGAACGGCAGTATTGGTAGGCGATTTTAAGAAGAGAACTCGACATGGAAAATGCAAATGCTTTGAACCCGGGCAGCTCAATTAGATTAGCCAAATCTCCGAAATTAATGAAAAGAAGTTGTCTTGTGTTTGAACCTAGTACTTTTGCTGTCACAGCTTCAAGGTCACGACGTACATACGTGTGGGAAGATGAAATGCAAAGAGCGAAACCCACCATCAAAGGCGACAGGAAGAGGGGGAGGTGCGACAGTGCCCTGAGGTGGATATCCACCAATCGGCGGTGCATAGGATTGGTAGGGGCCCGATGCTGTTTGCGGGATTTGGACTGAAGTTACGCCAGGGTTTAGATCCTTGCCACCAAATAACTAGGGATACGTCAAAAGGAAATAATAAATCCAAAGCCAGATTTTGAAAACAGAAATGTTTGATAAACTTACTATAGTATTTACTGCATTCATCCAAGAGCTAAAAAAGAAATATCCCTGAGGCGTCAACAGTGAGTAAAGATAAGCTTTTCGTAAAAACACCAATCCCGATTTAAAAATAACGAATGAGGTAGCTTGGGCCATAATTGACAAATCAGATACGACGAATATATGACTGAACATGATAGAAAAACCGAGACGCATATTTTATGGGTTCGAAACTCTTACGTGAGTAAATAGATAATTTGGATAGGGGAAATTTGATTGAATTTCTTGTTATTACCGCCTTATGTAACAAAAGGAAACCTATGGCTGGAATTAAGCTTGTCTCTGGGTGCGGATTTTATTGAAGAAATTGGATTAAATGAGAACCGCAAACGTAAACGATACACAACTGTTGTCATCCATTTACGAGGTCTAAAGCAAAACTTTTTACGTTGCTCAGCGTTACAGAATGCCACCTAAGTGTTATATCCAGGATTTGATAAAAGTACATTTTGTAAAGTACACTTATAGCAAACCCTACATTGAAATGTTCTTACATTTACGCACATAAAACAACTTTATCAGAAACGAATATAACGAGTTTTAAAGATCTTGAAAGTATTTAAAATGGCAACTACTGAAAACATGGGTCTTTTGCCATGTATATCAACCTGTGATTAACTTACTCCAATTCCGCTTGACTGGCACACCTAAAAAATGAAACCGCAGTAGCTTGATGAGCCTCATGAGGAACACCGAATGACCGATTAATATCACATTCTGCTAAAGCTGATGGCTTGCATGGAACCTGATGTAGGACCTGTCCAAAGGCTAGAAATGCAGATACAGCCTTAAAATAATGAAACTTCAATATTTTAATGTACCCGAATATCAATGCTCCGCTTAGGCGATGAAGAGCTCACAGAGTCAAACCACTGAAAATAACCTGTACTCAGTAGCTTTCCATACACTGGATAAAATAGTCGTTTGCTATTTGACCACTTTTCAAGGCTACCTTCCTTGAGTACAGAAGCCATGATCAATAAGTTACCCGAAATGTTTGAAGAACGCTACCTTCGTACCATCGATTAAAACACTCAGCAATCTTAAGGGATACATTGTGCATTTTTTACAAATTTCTTGTGTTTAAACATTTGAAATAATTTGGGCATACGTTAAAAAGTCATAACCTAAAAAAACGTTTAATATAATATTCTATTCTTGCCATTCTAAATGAGTCTGAGAGTGTCGTCAGTCCTGCTTATTTATGCTCTGCCACTTTAAAAACTTTTTAAATGCACATTCGTTTCAAGAACCTTTAGCTCAAATGTTTATCAAACCCTTAGTTTTAATAAAGCTATATTCTCTCAAGGTAACAGAAGCCATCACTATATGGCCTTATTGTCAATTGTGCAATCTTGCCTCCACCATGTGTTTGATTTTTAATTCAAGAATTTGATTTTATCTATAGAATGACACGCAATGTTGCTTGAAACAATTTCAAATTTCATCTATGTGATTCCAGCATCTACTTGATATCTGCTAATAAAGTACGTTAGAATTACTACGAAAAAAAATGCATGAGAGGTATGAATTGGACCAAACTGGCTCACGTCCTTTGAGATCGATGTAGAACTGTCATATTTACCTAATTGCTTTTCACTTCGTAGGCGCTGGTTATTAATTTGTGAACTAAAATCGTTTACGGAACCTTTTGTTTATGCCCGCATCCGATCATTGAACTTCCTGAACTTGACATTATGTAATTATAAACAGGATATTTGAGTACCTACCATATTATTTAGCGCATTGTAAAATTAACAGAGAACTCTGATGATGTTTTACTATTTCAAATTCCTGTTCCAGGCTAAACGTGCCCTCAGCGGTGCACAGCTTTTATTTGGCTAATTGTAGCGCGCATGCACACACATTAATTCATGTAACAGACCAATAGAACAAGCTATACAGCATTTTTTGCACTTGGCCGAAATGTTTGTAAATGACACCATTAAATTCTGTCCTGTTGAGGCAGCCTTGTTCTTCCACCGTAGGTCAAATCACAGTTGTCTGCGGGAAGAGCACACTCGAAATATTTCTTTTTGCACGAACACTCCCTTGGCTTCCTTTGTTTTGCATCCTTATAATGTCCCTCCATCGGGCAACCTGACGACGTGGTTTTAATTCCCACTGATTCGCAAAGACTATCACTTGAACTTGTTGGGGGTTCAAAACGCTCGTGAAGACAGCAGTCGCGTTGAGCGTTTGTTGTTGTAAAATATCGGCAGTTTTCCAGTTCAATGGACTCGGCAGCCTTTTGAAAGGGGGTCATTGTGTGCCACGGTACGCATTCCAGCATTCGTAAAAAAATCTCAAATTATAAAATAGATTGTTGTGTCAGCTTGAGTTAGGAGTTCCACAGACTTCTGTCATGGTAATAAATACATTTCATCCTGTTTAGTCCTAATTGCTAATCTAATCAAGATGAATTGGTATCGTCTGGGCAGATAGCACATTCATCAACTTAACTAAATTCATGGAGGTTAAATAGGTGTTGGTTATGACATTATAAATAACTAACAATCAATAAGGTCCAATTGTTGAGCACACTCGTTATATTCGGAATGCGACTCACCTCGATAGCCACTCCCAATTTTTCCTCTTCCGTCAAATTAACTTGTGGAAATGCGTCTTTATCATTCTCCACTTTGATGAAGATAGGTCCCCAAACCTTAGAAACAATTTTCGGCATGTTGATTAGACGATGACCGCAGGCGATCCGAAGAAGGTGACTCAGATGCCTCCCAAGGGCTATAACTGAGCTCCTTTCCAGCACTGGTAGTTGTGAAATGTTTTGTATAGCAGTCCTTGCCAAATATCTTTATTAGACAAGTAAACGTTACAGTACTGAACTAGTCCAATCTTCTTAATAACTAAAAGCCGAAATCCGTCTTCTATGAACATTCCACCTATTTTAAACAGGCTATACAGCTAGCTTACATTAATTTTATTAAAGCTTTTCTGGGGTTTCAAATATGTGAATTGTCTCAACTATCAACTTCGTTTTGAATTTGTCTAAATGTCATGATTATATTTGTACCTCACGTAACTTGAGAATCACTGCTAACGATACCAATGTTCTCTGAGCCATTGAATCTAATAAAGACGATTTTTGCTTATTCAAAAACAATAGATTGCTCACCTGCCAATGGTATGTGCAGTTTCTTTTCCTCGGTACATCCAGACAAGGAAGGGCCCACGTTGGCGTAAATATGTCAAGAGAACTGCCAATGCTCGCTCCGGCTTTAGGCTGATACACTCTTCCAGCTCCATTCTGCATGGGAAGCAGATGTACCTTTGAACAGCTAAATGTGTCCAATTACACTAAATTCAGTGGATTGAAGACAATTGAAACTACTGTTACTTTTCAACAGTCATTTGTACTAACCCCGAATACGTTGCTTCTCTATGTTTCTTTTTAACATCCATCCCGACTTTAAAAAGCCAGATTGATTTCAAGGACATTTTCAGACTTGACTGAATCCAGTGTATTGCACTCGTATGTTAATGAAAAGGATTTTCAAAATACACAAATAAATGATGAGGCAATGTTGCTCACAAGTTCCAAAATCTCTCTTTTGCTGCTTCTTTACTCAATTGGCTTAATATTATGCAAATTATGCGAAATTTTAACAATTTTAGATTTGTTGATGTGTATGGTAATCTACTCAGTTAAAACAATGTAACAATGTAACGATTTTTAAATCTATAGAATGCTGCAGTTAGAAGCCATGCCTAAAGGAGCGAATTTACGCAACCAAAGACATGAAATGAGTGCATATTGAAAGCTATTCATTATTGTAATACGTATTTTGTCGCATAGTACATAATGAGTCAAGTCTAGTGAATTCAATTAGGTCCCAAATCAAGTACAAAAACAGAAACAATGGGAAGTTGAAACTAACAAAAGAACAATTTGAGTAGCATGTACTCGGCATAGGGGGCAATCGGTTAGTACCTAAAAGATGTCCATTAAAAAGGACTGAGCACTTGAACATAGTAAAGATTTTTTTGTTTGGAAGGCAGTTTCAACGGAAAACATTTAAATTATTTAAGGCTCTTGGATTTCATTTCCACCGTAAGCGTTTCCAAAATTTTAACGCTTAGTGAGAAAGCAAGTCAATCTATTCAACTTGGAGCTAAATTTTCATCGCAATCTTATCCATATGTTCGTAAACCTAATGTATGAGCCAGCCCTTATAACGTGCTGGGTATCCAGAAAATCCTGTCTTATTAATTATCAACATAGTGCATCAGCCAACTAGCCGCATTAAACTACTGAGACACGCAACAGGAGTGAAGATCTGCGGTCAAGTGTGAATAAGTCTACTCAATTTTTATAAGGACAACGACGCTTGTTTTTGCATAATTCGTGTGTTCCCAGTTTTTTAGTTGATAGTTGAATCTTCGGACACTGGTAGGTGGCAGATGCTGGCAAATGGATTTTCTCATTTATTCATGAGTTATATCCAATGCTTTCCAAGTCTTGAAAGCAAAAAAAACTAGACTACGGTATTTAAGATAGACTTGTGACCAAACTTTTAGACTTCTGATCCGCTTCTATACCGGTAGCAGTGCTGAGGGGTAACTTCGAGGAGGTGTTATCATGCTTTGCGCATGACAATTTTGGCGAAGCTTATTCAACATTCCCTCTCCACTTAATAGACCAATTGCCCTACCTCTTTCAACGCATTCGTCATACTTCCATGTCTCGGTGTACATTTGGATCCCCCAACAGATTTCACCATCCACTATTTCCTGACCGCAGGGATGCTCAAATGTGGGCTTCTCCAACTGCATTGTTCTTGTCGCCGGGTAGACGGATCGCGTTATGGTGGGTAAGCAGATCTTCAAGTGCAAAAAGAGTCATGTGTTTTAACAAGAGCAGACTTCTTTTTGGTCAGCTGCGTTGGACTCACTGGCCAAAGGCGATGGCATCAGAGAACTTGCGTTTGTGGAATGGACAATTAAACGATTTCTTGGTTTATGGTGGAAATATTTATAATCCCAGAAGAAAAATATGCAACTCGTGGAGTTTCACCCATAATTAAATGATCTTGGACTCCAAATTTAGTTGTATTAGATATTCAAGCACATATATTAGAAGCTATCTGAATTTCGTGAAGAATAAGTTCAAATTGCTGTTATTTGATAATTCAATAGAAGGAAGATGAGGAAAGTGAGGTCGCGAATTCTATTTCTAGGATTGTTTGAGATATATTTAAATAAAAGTGTAGTGACGCTGCAAATTGAGAGATATCTTAATTCAAATACACAGGAGGTATGGCATAATACCTTGTACTAAACAAATTCGTTAGATTTCAAAATTTTTTCCCAAATAAATGAGTTGAACATCATATCCTGTACGTCATACGTGTTGCGCTTGCAAATAAATTATTAAAGGGCCTTTGTAGGACTAGTATCTATGCTTTAGCATGTGGCAATCATGTGAAGTGTAGGGAACGAATATCCGCCATTTAATCTCCTAAAGCATTAACGGTTTAATTAGTAAGAGTTGTCTTGGTAACTACTGATACAACACCATAGTCGGGTAGAGAACGTGAACGCTGGATTCTAGCAATATCGTTAAAGCTAGCAAGACACGACAAAAGACGTTGATATGCTGGTAAGAAGTAAATATTTGTTCTTGTTGTAAGGTTCAAAAAAATCTGTTCTAATTTATCTTATTTGGCAACGATTCATTCTGGAAAACCATATTGTAACTACCCAAAACTTTATTCCTGCTTTTATTAGTCACTCGGTAACCAGGGGTGCTTCACTTCTTACAAAAAAAACTTTGTTGATCAAAAAACTAAAATGCAAAATCCAAAGATGGTGAGGTCGAAATTGTAGCATCTACCTCAATTACAGCATACGGATCCCAGAAACCTGGTTTATCGCTCCAATCAGGATGGTTGGCGGGCTTATAAGTGAAGTCCAATGGGGGACGGGAGATGGAACAGCATCCTGCGTTTAGGCCGGTTGCCATTTTCAAAAAATATGCCACAATATACCGTAGTCTCCACAAAAATCCACAAATCGATGGGACCACGTGTATAGACACTTGGATCAGTTGGTTCACTGGAATGGTTCAAATCCTGGCACATTCTCCTTGAAACTACATCTCGTCAAACTAATAATTTTAAGAATGTTACTTTCAAAAGTCGGAACTCAATGTTGGTTTGGAAACTACAGTTCTGAAAATTCAGTGACAGTAGTGGTTTCAAGTAAGATATTCCCACTAACTTTCTAAAAGTTCAAAGAATTAAAAACACCTCAATAGGCTGAGGTTTCTGAGTAGTTAGGGATTAAATAAGCGAAATGTGTACTTTGATCGTTGAAGCAAATAAGTTAAATTCTCAAAGGCAACAATGGTTTAATTAACTTTAAATACACGAACCACTCCAAAAATTGGCAGGTGTAAATTTTTGGAGAATAGCCTTTTCGTACTAGCCCACCCAAGTGAGCTAACAGATAAATTACCTTGGGATTCTGCGTGAGTTTTTAATTATAGGTCTCAACGTATCGTAGACAGTTATTGTTTACAAATGTAGAAGAATTGCCAGAGCGAAAGCGATGGACGTTCGATTGTTAAATGGTCCAAAGAGCAGATTTCTTGTGTGCGGCTGCTTGTGCAAAATCCCCACTATGTGTCTGTGTGCGTATGTGTGTCAACGACAACAATGTCGACGTGTTGATTCACATCCACAAAAACACTAAATCTGGCTCATTGGATGGTGCGATTGCCTTTCAGAGGCCCACACGTTTAACTACATCCGTGTCTTCTTTTGTACCCGACGTTCATCTACGATCACAGTCTTCGGGTAAAACTGACATCTTTGCTCCTCATTCCCAACACTGTGGGAGCAAGCTTGTGAAACGTTAAGAAGAGCCAAAACTAAGCCTCGTCGGTATGAACAACAGAACTTAAACTCTGTGTGATCGAATCCGTTCGAATGCAACTATTCGTAAAAAGCGAGACTGCGCAGAACGATACGACGTAAGGGGGTCACAAATTCACACAGCTACTCAGGCCACTTGATAAACAGAAGCGCGCTGGGACAAAAAATCTATCCTTTGAGATTCCACGACGACCGGCGCCACTGGTCAATTGAACTGGCTCCCTACTCAAGTGCCAGATCTGACCTGCAGTACGCCCCACCACAATCACGTTGGGCCGATTAGAAACAGAAGAGTGGTAAAAACTACGACCGATTAGTGGCTTTTCTAACTACGCAAGGAATACAT